CACAGCAGCACTGTAAGAGCCAAAAATTGGAAATAAATAAAGTATTCAGCAATGGTGGAATGGTTAAATTCTATCACTGTATATTCAAAAAACAATTCTACCCAGTGGTGAAAATGAAGGATATAGCTGATCAGAATGTGGATGAATATCACAAAGATAATGAGCGAAAGAAGCAAGTCATAAAAGGATGCAATCAGCATGATTCCATATATATAAAGTTCGAACAGTTAAAGCTAGACTATATTGTTTTTAAAGAGGTATCCATATGAGATCAAATTATAAAGAAAAACAAGTGTGTTAGTTGTCCCAATAGTTAATGATTTCTTCTGAGGAATAGTAGGGGAATGTGATCAGGGAATGGCACATGGAGCTTCGGGATGCTGGCAATGTTCTGTTTCTTATCTTGATTGGTGATTGCCTATATATTCACCTTAAGCTGTACAGGTATATTTTATACACTCTGGTTCATATGTGACCTATATCACAATAAAAAAGAAAAAAATGACAGAAACTGCATCAATAAAGAAAAAAAGGACATTTCACTCTTCTAGGACTTTGCCAGGCACAGCAAAAAAAGAGCCATCCCACACCAACATTTTGAGTTTTCCTCCTAATGCTACAGCCTCAGTCAGCATTTGGTCTGCTTTTCAAAGAACAGCAGTTGACAACTCGGCCAAATACTTTGTCACTGCCAAATAAGTCGCCAGCTTTTCAGCCAGCCATATGTGTCCCCACTCCCCAAAATTCTCCCTGAAACACCAACTCAATTCTGTATATTAGGTTTTGTTATTTGTGGCACCCTACTTTCTACATGAGTTCAGAATTTCACTTCAGCTGTGTGTTATAAAGACCCAAGTCACAGTTTTTTTAAAAAATTGGATCTACTATGCACTTGAAACATGTGCATAGTACATGGTTCATTGGTTTAGCACTGGCTCAGTGCTTCAAAGATGGGCTCAAAGTCTCTGATTTCCTTAGCTTCACACAGTCAATTTGTGGTCACAAGATGGACTTTTCCACCCCAGCCTTACATGTGTGTTCCAGGTAGGAAGACACGAAAGTGGAAATGATAAAAGGGCAACAAGTTAGTCCCACTTTAAGGAGCTTTCCTAGAAGCCCCACATAATTTCCAGTTATATCTCAAACTGCTATAGGGTAGCTGATAAGTCTTCCCCATATTATAGGGAACCTGGAAATGCAGTTTTTATCTGGGCATATTGCTACCCCAGATAGAATCAGTTTCTGTTAGTAATTCTAAAATATTTTTCCTATGAAAAACTATATAAATTATTACATTTGATGGTGAAATTTTAGAAGCGTTTCTTTAGAATAACACAAGGGAGCCCTCTATTATTTTGTTGGAGATCCTAGCCAATTTAATAAATAATATAAATGAAAACTGGAAATGAAACACAAAACTTTGTCAGATGATGTATTTCTCTACATTTGTTTAAATCTACATTTAATAAAAGTTCAACAAAATTATGACTACAAAATCAATATACAAAAAGAGTAGCATCCCTATACCATTGTAATAACCAATTAGAACATAAAAATAATCTACATAATGACAATGTACAATGTACTTAAAGAACAGGTGGGGAATCTATCAACAAATGTGCAATAACTTGGGAACTGAAAAATATTACTGAAAGATGAACTTGTACATCTAACTAAATGAAAAGTGTAACCCTGTTCATGATAGCAAGGATGACTACCTTAAAACTATTCTCCCCAAATATTTCTATAAATTCAGTGGAACTGAAAACAAAGTCCCTCATGGTTTTTCTTGGAAGTGGTTAAGTAGACTCTAAATGGTATATGGAAGAGCAAAGGCCTAAGAATAAAAAGGTAGAAGGACAAGCCTTATTACATGTCAAGATTAACTATAAAGCTATAGTTATACAGTGTATTAATACAGTGGTATTGGCATGGATATGGACATTGTAGACAACTCAGTACAAAAAAACTATTGACTATTAAATAAATGATGCTTGCTTGATTGGTTATCCATAGATTAAAAAAACAAACAGACAAACTGAACTCTACCTTATTATGTGATGATCCTCCAGGACTACCCTCATGCCAAACATGTTGTTAGAATTATTTGCAGGACACAAAAAAGCTGTTATAGTTTGTTACAATGAAAGAATACATATCAAAATCAGCAAAGGGAAAAAGGCAAATGGGTAAAGTCCAGCAGGGACCAGACACAACTCATGCAGCAAAAGTACTGCCAACCAGGGAACCTCACACGACCCTCGGAGTCCAGAGTTTTTACTCAGCCATCTGTTGTTGACTTCTGTCAATAGGGCCTCTTGAAAACATTTCTTCCCATTGTTTTTTCAAGCTCTTACCAGTTGCCCAAACTCTGGCCTTCCAACTGATTTCTCAGCTTACCCTCTTTCAACTGTCCTGTGCCTTTTTTTTTTTTTTTTTTGCAGATTAGCGGTATATAGCGCTTTCATAACGTCACTCTTATGTTAGAAACCAAACAAAAGATTTCAAAAGCTCTGAACTCTCTCCAGGATCAGTAGGGGGTAAGAAAAAGGGAACTGATTTTCAATGAATGATGATTTCTGTAGTGTAAATACAGATTTTAAGCTGTGGACATGATGTCAACCAGTTCTCACAAAATTCCTGAAAATTTAGCAACCAGCTCTTACAAGCCAGTACAAGCTGGCTTCCACATAGCGCTGTCCATGATGTACACTAAACACTGGGCTTGGCATTCAAGGCCAATCAAATCACACTGCACAGCTTGTAGTTTCCTAAATAGACCAAGCTATTTCTTCCTTCTGGAGTCATGCTTGGGTTGCTTCCTCTGCCTAGAAAGTGCCTCCTGAATGCCCCTTTGGCCTCTCCCACTGTACACAACTACTCTTCTTTTAGCTTAGCCCAAAGACCACATTCAGGAAAGGGTCCCTGCCCTCTAAAAAAACTGATCAGATGCTCCTTCTTGGTTTTGTTTCTCTATAAAGGCCCTGAAACGTTCTTTGCTGTGGCTTTGCTGTGGTCTCTCCTTGCTAGATTGTAGGATGCTAGAGATCCTGAGCTGTGTTTCACTGATCTTTGAACTCCAAGTGTGAAGTATATGGTCTGGCACTTAGTAGGTGTTAACAATCATTTATTGATGCATAACTGAATAAATATGTGCCCAAAGAGTGGTATCTATGACTATCTTACTATTTTTCCCTGGGAAAACAGGGTGGTGGCTGATGTAGGTGACTGTACTCAAGCTGGGCCCTAAAGGATGGGCATTCCAGAAAGAGGGAATTGCATTTCTTTCCTTTTATTGGATAAGGTTTGCTTTGTAAATGTTGTATTACTTGTCCTTTTGGCATGGCTTGGAAATATTTGGAAGAAGGTTCAAAATATGACAGTTAACCTAGAGCTTGAAAGTGTGTTTTGAGGAAATATTCCATTTTGAAAACAATACCTGGTAGCTGGTGCTGATTTTTTTCTTTTCTTTCTTTTTTTTTTCTTTTTAAGTAATGCTCCATTCAACAGCAGTAATATGTTTAAACACACCTGCCAGGATTTTTGTGAACTTCACAGCGAAGTGGTGTTTATTTCCCTGGAGCACAAATATTTTCTTTTGTTGTACAATTAAGGGATAATCACTTTCCTTTGAAATACACAATTGGATTAACAGTTCAAGAAAAGCTCAGATGATAGGGTGAGAATTGGAAACATGATTCCCTTTATTAAGCAAACCGTAATATTGAACTATCCCCCTTAAAAGTGTGAGCTAATTTATGGCAGTATCTTCTTGTTGCTGTTCACACAAGGGTCAGGGAGATAGAAGATAATTGATAGGCAAATAGTGCTAACCCTTTCCTTCTGACTGCAGTCTCTTAAGTTCATTACAATTTCAAACTCATACTTACATATACTTAGATAAAACATGCATTACATGCCTGTGCACACACACACACACTCTCTCTGCTAAACCCATATCTACTATTGAATTGTCTACCCTTGTGGGGGTCTCTTGAAAACATCTACTACTTTCTCTTTCTTTTGTGAAGCTCTTACCAGTTGCTTAATCTCTGGCTTTCCAATTCATTTCTCAACTTTTCATCAGTTTCTTTCCCTTCCCTTCCCTTAAACCCTCTTGTGCACTTTATATAGACAGTGCTTTCCTAATATCACTTTTATGTCCGCATGCCTGTGTGTACACACATAGAAAGGGTACATCACGTCTGGGGTCAAATCTAGTTTTATTATGAGGGGTCTCAAATTTTTTTCCTTCCTAAAATATGTAAAACTTCCCACTTGACTGCTGAAACCGTCCCACAGGTGTGAGATGGTTTTATTTTATTTTGTTGTAATCCATTCATTGTACACACTATGGAATTCAGGGCAGAGATCCCGGTTGACCTTCAATATTCTACTTTTCTTGCATATTATTAGAATTTTAGCTAGGCACATGATTGGCCAAAGTAGATTGCTGTATTCCATCAATTCTTTATTTTATCAACCACTGAGAAAGCAGTAATACTAAAGATGAGGAGCCCAGTAAGTCACAACTGTATTAAAATGGGAGAGGGGTATCCAACCTTTCGGGGTCTCTGGACCAAATACATAAACACTAACAAAAATGGATGAGCAAGGGAGAAAAAAAAAAAGGTTTTAAGTAAATTTACGATTTTATCTTGGGCCACCCTCCTAGTCATCCTGGGCCACGGATAGGACACCCCTGGAACTTTACACCTTAGGAGACGTTGAGAGTGTCACCTGAAAAGAAAATTCTGCAGGCCCATGTAGAAATGGTTTAATATTGAAGTTCCAATAGTGTTGGTTATAAGTCCAACCTCCATAGCTCTCAAAACCGGACGAAGAACGACTGGAGTATGAGCTGGGAGTTTCCTCAGAATGTTTTACTTCAGGGAAAACCAAACCCTATCACGCGCCCGCCACACCTGAAGGCGGACTTCACAGCCGCCGGCGGGCCGCTGCCCCGAGAACTGCCAGGCTCTGAGGCCCGCGGGGCGGCCATGGACCCGGCGCCCCGCTTCCCGGGGCGCAGGGCGGCGCTGAGGGCGCTGCTGCTCGCCGCGGCCCCGACCGCGAAGGGGGTTCGGCAAGACCGCAGGGGCCAGTCCGGCATCCTCAAGGAGGAGGGGCCTGCCGAGGAGGAAGCAGCGGCGGCTGGACACGAGCTCCGTGAGTCCGGGGAGGAGGGCTCGGGAGCCTGGCGGGGGCGGGGCGGGCGGAGGGGATTCGTGCGGAGGCGGCCGAGGGGCCGCAGCCTCCCCACTGCACCCTCCGCGCGCCGGGCTCCGCTTCCGAACCCGAACCCGCCCACGTCCACTTTTGGGCCCACGTTTCCCAGGTTGTTTTATTTCGGGTTAAACGTGTCCTGTGGATGGAAGGGAAGTGTTACTCTTCCCACATAAGGAAGAGGGTTCTTACAGAAATGATTAAGCCCTTTTACAAATAAGAGTTGTATGTGCTCTTATCTCATATCCTGACTCACGTACTGATTTATTGTGTGACTTTAAATAAGTCACTTAATTTTTCTGTACTTATGTTTTTAAAGCATGGAACAGATCAACTATGCCTTGGAAATACACTTATAGTATAAACTGAGGTACGCTGTTGAAAAATTTCCAAAAATCACGAATGTTCCTCTTTGGTCCATTAAAGTGTTTTCCCTATTTGTTTTACTGTTGACTTTTCAGAGTCGTTTATGTATTATGAATATAGTTCATTTATCAGATGTGCGACTTGCAAATATATTCTTTCAGTCTGTAGCTTGTCTCTTTGTCTTAATAGTACTTTTCACAGAGCAAAGTTTTGACTTTTGATGAAGTCCAGTTTATCATTGTTTTCTTTTATGGTCATGCTGTTCATGTCATGTGTAAGAACTCTTTGCCTAACCCCAGCTTATGACATTTTCCTCCCGCGTTTTCTCCTGTGTTTTACATTTACATCTATTATCCATTTTCAGTTAATTTTCGTATGAGGTGTGAAGTTTACATCAAGATTCGTATTTTTTTTTCTTTTGGATGTCCAATTATTCAAATATATTTTGTTGAAATAATGATCCTTTCTCCATTGTCAAGACCTTCAAACCTTTGTCAAAAATCAATAAGCCAGCCCTGGCCAGGTGTCTCAATTGGTTGGAACATCTTCACATACACCAAAAGGTTGTGGGTTCAATTCCTGGTCAGGGCACATACCTAGGCTGCAGGTTCCATCCTCCGTTAGGGTGCATGTGGGAGGCAACCAACTGATGTTTCTTTCTCCCTCCCTTCTCCCTCCCCCCACCCCCCCCAAATCAATAAACATATCCTTTGGTGAGGATTAAAATAAAATCTAAAAATATCAATAGGGCCAGGCCTTGGCTGGGTAGTTCAGTGGGTTGGAGTATTGTCCTGATACCCCACGGTTGCAGGTTTGATCCCCAGTCAGGGCACTTATAAGAATTAACCAATGAATGCATTAATAAGTGGAACAACAAATCGTTTCTCTCTCTCTCTCTCTCTCAAATCAATAATGTTTTTAAAAAAAATTTTTAAAAGATATGAGCAAGTGGTTTAGCTTTCTTTTTTTCCTAAGTCACTTTCCTTGTCTGTGAGATGGAAGTGATAATATCTATTGCATCAGGTTGTCATTTTATAAAAGCCCTAGGGTAGGGTGCTCCAACATTTGAAGATCAAGCAGAGAAGAGCCAGTAGAAGAGACTCAGAAGCAATAGGAGGTCTGACAGAAACCTGGAGAAGAACATGTTACAAGGGAAATGTCCTCTGTGTCAAATCTGCCATCAATTTAGTGCACATGGCAAAGAAGTGATGACTGTATTTTGACAAATCTTGATCTTGACCTGACAAGAGCAATTTCAGTAGAGTGATGAGAACAATGTCTAATTAGCATGGGTTGAGATAAGACTGAGAGATGAGGAAGTAGAATTGGGAATTATAGAACACTTATAAGTTTGGGGGTCACAGGAAGTTGAGGAATGGAGTGGCAGTTGGAAAGCAATGTGAAGTTAAGAGACAGGCGGGTTTTGTTTTCTTTCTTTATTCTGGAGGTATTATAACATCACTGGGTATTTTGAGGTGATGATTAAATGGTGCAGAGGAGAAAGGAGATAATTTCTAGGAAACTAATATATGAAATAATTGATGAGAAGGGGCGTGACCCCGAGCCCAAGTGGAGGGGCTAGCTTTGGTTAGGCACGGGGATGCTTCATGGACTGTAACAACAATACAAGCAGAGGGTGTGGGTATAAATGTACATATGTGGGTAGGCTTACTGGTGAGAAGATGTGGGAATTCCTATCTGATTGCTTATACTTTCTCTGTGCACTGTTATAAACTGGGAATTAGATGATGTTAATGGTCGCCAATAAGGTAAATTAGTAGATTAGGATATTTGAAGAGAAAGAAAATGGCATGAAATTTTGGAGAATGGAAGCCTAGAGAAGTGTGGTAGGATTGCTGTGCTGAGGTTGTACTTGAGAGTAGTGCCTAAAAAATGTAGGAGTATGTTTGCTATCTGTTGCATGTTAGTATGTGTGTCAATCAGGATAGACTAGCTTTTCCCGTAGTAACAAATAACCCCTAAACCTGAGTAAAGGTCTACTTGCTCATATAACATGTCTTATATGGGTTGGGAGGGTATCTGCTCTACCTAGACTCTCAGGACCCCCCATGTCAAGAACTGTAAAAGGTCTGAGATTTTACTGGACTTACAGGCTAACAAGTAGGCCTACCATGGTATCATGGATTCTGGCAGAAGACACTTCTGGATACAAAGGTTTTATTACTCACAGCAGAAGCAGTAGCCAAAGTGCCAGCATTTGTGTCAGTTTTATCCAAGCCCTAGTTCCCCTAGTGAGATGCAAAGAGCGCCAAGTATTATAAAAGTAATACCTACCTGCACATGCAGTGAGTTGTGTTACAGGAGGACCTTGACTTAGGAAACCCAGATCTTTTGAAATGGGCAGTAAGGATGCCTTACTCTATTATTATTATTATTATTATTTTATTTTTTTAGGCTGTAAGCAAAGCTGCCACTTGCTTAGAGGAAGAAATGATCTCTCTCTTCCACTACAGTTTGCTATACAGAATCCTTGGGAAGATAGTCCAGAACAAAGGCAGTCAGTGATTCTACTTGTAAAGTGTGCAGAAATGCAAGAGACCCATGGAGGATTGTCTCCCAATGCCATGCTGATGGAGGTGCCACCACCTTGTGACTTGTAGTCATCTGCTAGGGGTGCCATAACAAACTACCATAGACTGGGTGGCTTAAACAACAAAAATTTATCACACAGTTTCTGAGGCTAGAAGTACAAGATCAAGGTGTAAGCAGGGTACATTTCTTCTGAGGCCTCTCTCCTTGGCATGTAGATGCTCCTCTTCACCCTCTGTCTTCACGTAGTCTTCTCTCTGTTGTGTCCATATCCAAATTTCTTCTTTTATAAGGATACTGGTCATATTGGATAGGGCCCATCCTAATGACCTCATTTTTTACTTAATTACCTCTGTGAAGAACCTATCTCCAAATAAAGTCACATTTTGAGGTTTTGGGGGTAGGATTTACTTCACAATATGAATTTTGAATTTACTTCACAATATGACAGTTCAGTCATAACACCTCTACATTTAAACACATGACTTCCAGGGTTGACAGGACAGGGCAGGAGAGACCTGGAAGATAACACAGGCTTTTCACTGACTTAGCCCCAGAGTGACACACCATCGCTTCTGCTCTCAGTTCAATGGACATACCTCACCCAGCTGCATCTGGGCTGGGATATGTACTCATCCGTGTGTTCAGAAAGGATAGGAGAACAGGATTTTGAGGAACATTAGCTGTGTCTGCCACAACATGGTTGTGATAGACCATGTACCATCTAGGTGTCCAGGTGCAAAAACAAAGGAGATAGCATTTGCTATCAAATGCTAGCAAATAAGGAGATAGCTTAACAGTCGGAATTAGGATTCTGACCAACTAGGCTGATGAGGGAAGAGAGTGAATGGTGAGGGAGATAAAGGTGTTTACACAGAAGTGATTTCAAAGATAGGCTATGGGATCTAAACTGGGTAAGGAGGGAAGTAAGGACAGAAGGGATGCAAATGAAATGATGGGAGAACAGTGTCTTCGAGGACTTGATGAGGTCGCAGAATTTCTGGTCTGAAAGAACTCAAGCTGAATGGATGAGGTGGTGTTCAGAGAATGGGATTCTTGAAGATGTGAGAGGTAGTGCAGTGTTTTGAGGGTGATCAGGTCAAGAATATGACCCTGAAATTGGATGGCTGAAGTCATATAGATTATTGGAGGCAGGGGAGTCAGGGAACTTAGAGGCTAAGGTGCTGGATTACTCCTCTCTGTGGATGTTGAAGTCACAGAGTGGTAACAGTAGGAGAGGTGGAAAGGAAGAGAAGGATCTAGGATTGGAAGAAACAAGATGCTCCCTGGTCTTTGACTGGCCTTGGTGGCATTTTAAAGTGTCTTTGATAGGTAGTAGGGAAACTCCTCAGGAACACATCTACAAAACCTCTCTTAGGATCCTTTCTTTTTGGAGATGGTCTATTGTTGATTTAATATTGTTCCAATTCTGGCTTTATCCTCCAATGTTGAGGTTGTCCCCTGTGAGCCCTTGATCTCTGCTACATGACAGTAAATAAATGAATCCCCAATCGTCTCTATGCTATGTAATGAAACCTACCATCGGAATGTGTGTATGTGTGTGATATATAATGTTTATAGTAATTGTGAATCTACTTTATCTCCTTCCATATAAATAAGAATAAAACATGTTCATTCCTTTCAGGCTTTGTGTATATTTATGTGATGTGCTGCATTTTAAAGTTTTGTTTCTGCAGGCCTGGCATCTGCACAGGGTTCTGCAGACAACAATTTTATCTCTGTATGGAGCATTTGGGCTCCTCCCTGTCTAATCTTGTACAAACATTTTACAAACAACGTCCCCTGGGAAGTCCTTGGCCACCCTACAACCTCCTAGAGCCAGATACTACATTACTGACTTCAGGGTGGTCCCAGGAATAATGTTTTATTTGGGACCAGGAATTTTTTTTTTAAGTATGTGAAAACACTTGTAGAGCAAAGAGAAAGCAGAATCTTAACAATACAACTTTATAAAATATTGAAGCAGAGTTCCCTTGTTCAGAATGGCAAAATGAGAAAGGCTCAAGGTTGCTGTTTCAAGTTTTTAGAGTTAAAAAGTTTACCAAATGAGGTTTGCTTTTTCATCACCCCCCTTAAATTCCCTCAGTCATGCTTGCTTGCTTGCTGTCTTTCAGTATTGCCAAATGAGAGAAGCTTCCAGAATGCTGCTAAAAGCAATAATTTGGATCTTATGGAGAAGCTGTTTGAAAAGAAGGTTAACATTAATGCTGTGAACAATGTGAGTGGAAGTCACAAATGTGACAGTGACTGCTCCAAGGGTGGCTTGGGTTTACACAGGTCAACAAAAATATAATACAAATAAAAATAAAAATGATTGTGCTGGATGAGGTAAGGGAGATCTCTTTTGTTGGTAATTCGAGTGTTTATGCTAAAGGTGAAATCAAGCACTGGAATAGGCTCTGGGTGTTTTAATTTATCTTAACAGAGGGGAAGTGCACAGGGTCTTTATGCACATCTGTGCAAAGTCTGTGGGTGGGCAGTAAAGCCAGCTGTCAAGGTTATGGGCCTGGACTTGGTCCTAGATGATAGTCTGTGGATGACTTTGGCCCGCACATTCTGGGAAGGCAAAACGTCTTTGCTACACAATCTGTGTTGTTTTCTCTCCAGTTGTGTCCTTTGTGGTTGGTTCTTCCAAATTTAAAATCTAAAGGAGAATATGTGTTTTCATTCTACTTCTTTTGAAGTATTTGCATCTTAATGTTGGGCAATGGAGCTTTTTCTGAAATCTGGCTCTTAGTTGTTCTTAAGTGCTTGGGTTTAGGGGAGAAGCCTACTGCCAGAATATGAATTTCCTATGGCTTGGTTTTGTGGGGATTTCCTGACAGCCCCTCAAAGCAGAATTTATTGAAGTGAACTGGCTTGGGTTCTGTCAGTTGTTTAGGGCAATTTGTGGAGTGGCTCTAGATGGGGACGGCAGAGGTAGATGTAATGTTAAATGAAACAGAAGTTTTAGGACCTGCATATATAGCCCTCTTTCAAGGCACTTGGAGGATTCTAGCAATATGTTCCCATAGTTATATGACTTTGTGAAATCTGAAAAAGTGGGAAATTTGAACTGCAATCACTGAAGTTTTCTGACTCTGTCATTAAAGAGGGCTCCCTAAAGAGTGTAAACTTCAAGTTCCACAAAACCTGAATCTGTCCCAGGCAGTGAGGTCATAAAAACTGAAGTCTTGCATCACATGCAGTGGAAGGATGTTTAGCAGTTGTTCATGTGTGTCCTTGAGGAAGTATGTGTTTATGTGTATGTTGGAATTTATGTGTCTATGTGTATATTATGTGCATGTGTGTGTGTGTCTGATGTGTTATGGGTGTATATAGTATTCATTGTCTATAGACATCCTCAAAAGAGTAGAAAAATAGCAGATTTTTTTCAGCATAACAATTTTAGTAACAAAAAAAGAAAAATGTCAAAGAATTAAGGGAGAAAGGGAAAGAAAAGAAAAAAATAAGAACTTTTGAAGCTATTATTTACATTAATTGTTGAATAAATAAAACAATAATCATTTTCCCAAGTAGCAGGACATAGATTCTTCAGTATACTTTTATAACCACTTAAAATTTTTCATGTACGAGTTCCTAATATTGTAAGCCATGTTTTTATATTAAAGTACTTGGAGAAATAGTATAACCTAGACCACTTTAACTGTTAGTATGGTAAATTATTATAAATTCCTGATGAATTGTGTCATTCTTTCTATTGGCATCTCTTTTAGGCCTGTTTACAGAAAATTTTTGACATGGTTACTTGTAATGTTCCTTAAAATCTGTGATGATAGAGATGAAAAAAACCTAGATGGTTTTATTGAATTGCCTTGGATGTTATTTTGGCTTGCATTTTTATTCACAAATAGAGTTAATAGGGAATTGTATAAGCCCAAATTTGACATACTAGAACATAGCTCTAGATTGCAGACAGTGTTAAGATAACTAATGTTTTGTCAAACTTAATTTATCACCAGTTTAGCTACCAAGGAAATCAAATATTTAATTTAAATATTTCTCATATTTTTGTAATAAATTATTTATGTGAAACAAAGGGTGGTAAATCCATGCCCAGTCACCTTCTATGGAAGCAAAAACAGTGTCTAGAATATGGGAAATATGACCTGAGTTTCACTTACAAGTGAAACATCCATCATTTGAAACACATTAGACTGTCTCTGGACATCTCTAGAGTACCACGGTGACTTTCCTTTGAAGGAAAGGATATTCATAGCTTGCTTTCTCTGTGTCTGTTTCATTCTCCTCTCATCTTCCCTTCCTTCCTTTCAGAAGCAGTTTGCTTGCTTCAGTAAAACTTGTAGTCCAAAAAATTACAGAAGAAAAAACTATATATGTATTAAAAATCTAGGAAATTTTTTGTTATAACATTATCTATGTATTCTAAGAAGAAAGCATTTACCATTATTATTGCTTGCATATATGGAAAAATACAACTTTTGCTCCCTAATTGACATCCATTATATTGTTACAAGCAATGGTAACAATATAAGCAATAGGTTATGCAGTGGATTTCAGCTTGGGGCATAGCCTCCAGTGGATTGCCAAATTCTCTGATATTATCTGATAATAAATGAAGGCAGGATTATGCTAGACACCATTCTCACTGCTTTCAAAGACAAAAATAAAGAGTAGATAAATAATAAAAATACACCTGATAGAAAATTATGGTCATTCAAGGAATAGGCATCTTAAAAAGCCTAAATAACAATCAGATGATTGAAAACACAAATTCTGTTTCCTCAGATGAACCGCACAGCCCTGCATTTTGCAGTGGGGGCAAGTCATTTATCTGCGGTGGATTTCTTGCTTAATCACAAGGCCAGGGTGGATGTTGCTGATAAGGTAAACTCATTTTTGTTTGGTAAAATGGATTGGAACAGAATGAATGTATGGGGAAATCTGGTAACTTCGGTTATCTTTTCTTTACATATGCACAAAATATTTCCATTGGTGGTATTCTTTTCGGAAAGGTCTCTGCAAATATATGTATTGCGTGCTCTTTGTATTTGTTGAATAAATTCTTTACCCATTACCTACAGGTCTTGGGCTTTTACTTATTTTCCCATATTGACCTTATGGCCAGTAGCATACATTTGCAAGAACGAAATGGTTGCCCAGAGTGTAATTTGGGACATAAAAGACAGAAGCTAACTGGCCTCAGGGACTTTGCCCTGTGAACTCTGATAAATAAATAGGCTTATTAAACACATAGTATGTACTAGGCACCAGCCTTAGGACTTTAATATTTAGCTGCTCAACCTTGAAAGAGAATTAATACCAAAGTTACAGATGAGGAGTCTGAGATACAGAGAAATTAAATATCTTGCTCTAAGTATTACTTCTAAGAAGAGGTGTTGGCAGGATTTGAACCTGCCTTAACTGATTCTAGAGACCATACCATTAGCCACAAATCAGCCTATTTGCGTAAATATGAAAAGCCATCCTAAGGATTTTCCACCTACTTTTTCCAATTTTATTTAACATTTTACCGTGGCACAAGGAAACCATTTGGGCTGGAGAAATACAACATCATTGTTTATCATCTCCAGTTGCAGAAAAAGATGATAGCCTTGGTTTGTAGGTAATTCAATGGAACATAGTTCTTAAAAGTTAATCTGTTCAGCAGATTCCCACACAGCTATTCTATTTCCTCTCTGAAATGACTCTGAAAAGGCTTGGCATGGCTCTACTTTCATGTCTTACAGGGCTTGGATTTAGTATGTGCTTAGTAAGTCTTTGGAAGATAAATGAATGAAGTCAGTTCAAACCAATTGGTCATTTTGTTAATTTTGTCAGCAATTATAGATGTAGTCTACACTTGATAATGATGAGAGTTTTTCTATTTCACGAGTAGAGTACATCCCTCTCTGCCTATTTTAATGCTCTGGTATTGGTGAACAAGTAGATTGATCTGTAACAGAGTCAGAATGAAGAACTACCCCTTTTTAAAAAGTGGTACCAAAAGCACTCCAACATTGTAAGTGTATTAAGTTGTATTATGGTAATGGTACTTAGAGAACAGGTTTTTTAGGTTATTTTGATTATTTTTCAGTGTTAGTTAGCCTACAAAATATGCTTTGGTCATAGACCTGATTGCCAAGAATGTATTCTTATTTTGACATTGAAACACTGATACAATAACTTCTTCTTCACTTTAATTTTTAAATTAACATTCTTTTTGGCATACAGTGCTATGAATTTTAACACATTTATAGATTCATGTAACTATCACCCCAAACAAAATACACAAAAATTGCATCACCCATAAAATTCCCTCATGCTGTTCTTGTAGTCAAACCACCCTAGCCTTGGCAACAACTTGTCTCTTCTACATCTCTCTAATTCTGCCTTTTTAAGAATGCCATGTAAGTGATATTGCATAGTATATGTAACCTTTGACACTGTCTTCTTTCACTCAGCAAAATGCCTCTAAAGTTCATTTATGTTGTTGTCTGTATCAGTAATTCCTCCCTTTTATTGCTGAATAGCATTCCAGTGTGTGGATGTACCACAGTTAATTTATCTGTTCTACCAGTTGAAAGACATTAGAGTGGTTTCTAGTTTTTGACTGTCACAAGTAAAGCTTCCACAAACATCCATGTACACGTATTGGTGTCAGCATAATACTAATCTCACTAGAAGTGAGATTACTCGACCATATAGTAAACTATGTGCAAGAAGCTGCCAGTTTTCTAGAGTGGCTGTTCCATTTTCATTCCCACCAGAAATACAGCAGAGTTCCAAGTGTTCCACCTCTTTATCAGCATTTGATATTGTCATTTTTCTTCCCTTAATTTTAGCCATTTTAGCAGGTTTATATGGATTTCTCATTGTGGTTTTAATTTGCATTTCTTTAATGGGATATTGAGCATCTTTTCTTATGTTATTTACCCTTTGTATATCTTTTTTGGTGATGTATCCATTCAAATCTTTTACATATTTTTAAAAAATTCAGCTGTTTTCTTATTGTTGAATTTGAGAGTTATTTATGTATTTTGGACACAAAACTTTTATCAGATACATGATTTACAAATATTTTCTCACATTCTGTAGCTTTTTAGTGTTTTTTAGAGCAAAAGCTTTTAATTTTGATGACATACAATTTACTTAGATTTTTTAAATGAATCTGGATATTGGTGTTATATCTAAGAATGATTTGCCTAACTTAAGGTGATGAAGATTTTCTCTCTCTTTTTTTTTTTTCAAAATTTATAGGCATGTTCTCCCTCTGGGAAGCAAACTGCCATTCCCTTCCCCTCTTCTTCCCTCTCTTCCCCCCCGCCCCCCCGCAAGCACAAATCTCCGAAACCCTGAGGTCCCAGAAAGCTTTAGCCAGGGGAGTGATGGGCAGCGGCAGCTTCTTCCAGGTTCTTGTTTGTTTGTTTGTTTGTTTGTCTTGCATATGGATGGCCAATTTCATCAACACCATTTGATACCAATGCCACTGTATTTTCTACACCTTCGCAGTGCTATTTGAACCTATCCCAAAGCATGACATTCAGGGGCCAGTCTGAGAACCTGGGCAGTGACCTAATCCTAGTTCACTTCTCCAAGCCTTTGTCAAGCTGTTTAGGGTCAGGTCCATGTACAGGTCAGAGGGAAGGCCAGGAATTAATGCACAGTTTAGCGGGATTCCTTTCTCAACCTCCCGCCTCTTCAAGATTCTCCCTTATTCTCCAGCTCCAGGGCCTCTTTCCCCCTTTTCTGGTCCTCTGCCTAGAGAGCCAAGGGTGTAGTCTCCCAGCTCCACTCTGTACTTCCCACAATAGGTTCTCTCTTTGGGACTAAGAAAGGAGAAAAAGTAATGGGTTCCCCATCACCACCCTCATCCTCTTCTCTGACCATAATCTCTGTGGTCAGAGAGAAGGATTCCCACTGTGAGTTTTAGGTACTTGCTCAGTCACTGTTTCTATCACTTCTACCACAGGGTTGCAGCTTTGGGAGTGAGGCTTGCCTGGGGCAAGGCCAGAAGGGGGAAAAAAAACAGGGCTTCCCTTTCCTTCTCTGTCCTAGAAGGTCACCCTTCCACTCCTTAGACCAGAGAGGGCTTCTCTTGGAACTCTTTCTGCCCATGCCCAGGGTGAAGTTCTAGTTCATGGAGGAAGGTATGAAAGGAAACAACAAAAAATCAGGAAACCCATATTGTTTATAGTTTGGATTCTGGTTTTCTTCCCCAATCTACCTGTTACCATTTACTTCTTGGAGTTCTCAAATAGCTGCTCCATGCATTCTGTCCAGAGATTTTAGTCACATTTGGTGAGAGAGACAGGGTGGAGTATACTTACCCCATCTTAACCAGGACCAAAACCCCAAATCTTTAACATGCTATAAAAGTGAAGAGAATCGTACAACAAATACCTATGTATCCATTGCCCAGGTCAAATAGCATATTTTAAACACCATGTTTCTAATATATTAAATATACTATTGGCTTATGTCAGAGTATAAGTCAGTTATTGCCAAGATGTTTTTTATCAACTTGTTCTCTTTGAAGCTTTTCCCATTTGGAAGCTTCTTGTAACTTATCTTGTGAGACTGAATTGTTGTCAGTAATTTCTGATCTATCACTATACTCTGCCTTGAAGGGTTCACTAAGTATTTCTATAACTAGTTTAATTATTCATAGTGGTATTAGTACATAACTAATAAAATGACTTTCATAACTCATGTGAGGCCATGTTTGGTCAGACCTGGCAGCTTCTTTATCTGGGTGACGAGCCCTGAGCTTGTCTTGGCAGATAGATCTGTCTTGTAAATTCTAACACCCATTTGCAAAGAGTCAACAGTTGAAGCCCTTCACTAGCAGTGCCTGTTGTGGGTAAGTCTCAATGCCAACTACTACTGGGGATTCAACTATTGATAGATATTAGTTCTTGCTACTCAAAGTGTGGTCCTGGGACCAGAAGCACTGGCATTACCTGGGAGCTTCTTAGAAATGCAGATTCTTGGGCCCACCCCTGACCTCTTGAATTAGAATCTGCAATTTAACAAGATCCTCAGGTGACTGTGTCCGAAAGTACTGGCATGAGATACAGTCTTTGTTTTGAGGGGCCAATAATCTACTGAGGGAGCAAGGACCAGGACTGTAACAAATGTGTACCATTCGAGACACCACATAAGGATCAAATGCATAGCCCAGATGCTAAGGACTCCAGGTTCAAAGTGAACGGCATCCCCAAGGCTCAGGAAGAGGCAGACTAGTAAAAGGAGGCTCTTCCTCCAGATGTGAACAAAGGATCCCAGGTGGAGTGCAGATGATGCTCAGAGAATAGCGACAAGCATCTGCTCTCAGAGCTTCTTACTTCTGGAAAACTCCTCAAGTACAGGTGTTCCCCAAGGGAAGTTACTGAGCATTTCACCTATGACCAGACTGGTAATAAGGACAGTCTGTCGGTGGTGGTGGGCATTTAACACTTTACAGAGCATCATGTACCTACCACCAGTAGTAACCCATGATGCATGCTCATAAACTGTCGTAGGCATGTCAGTTTGGTATCAGAAGAGTTAGTTTTATGATGGTTCTTGTGGTGGAATTGGCATCTGTGAGCAGTGATTCTTTGTCTCTGAGGGACAATGGCTCCACACTGAATTTATATTTTCAGAGACTCAAGTTGTTTGAAGCTTGACTTTCTGGCTTTTGGATTTTATGGTCAGTGTGTGAAATCTATATGTGTTGGCAGCTTTGAAATTAGGAATGACCCTCTTAGGGAAAATTTGAGCTCCTATCAAAATGAGATTTATTTTCTATCCCAAATATTTCTGGCCTTTTTTTTTAACCATATGTGAAATTGGATTTAGTATTACTGAATATATAGCATTGATTTGTAGAGAAAGCTAACCTCAACTATTCATTGTACATCATTGTTCCTTGAGGGAAAGAGTACAGAAATTGGTAAACATTTTCTTTTTACTGGAATTGTAAATATTTAAATAGAATATGTAGGCTTAACTGCATAGTACATATCAGCAACAATGTAACATTTTTTCAAATATTTTCAATTTACAGTTTGTTGAATACACTGTTGTAGAATCTGCGGATATGGAGGGCCAACTATATATATATGCCTACATATAAGGGTTTGGTTTTTTTTTTTGGTCATTGCTTTTTTTTTTTATCAAAATGGGATTATATTATATTTTATCTGCACCTTATTTTCCACATTTTAATAGCTTCCTTGTGGAACTCGCTCCAAGTCTATTGTTATAGCTCTAATTCATTATTTTTAATGGCTTCATGATGTGTTTCCTAATTTGCTCAGCATTCTTATATTGATAGACATTAACCTTGCTCCCAGTTTTAAGGGTTAAAATTAATACCCTTGTTTATATAACAGTAGGCTCTAAAACTTATTTTTGTGGGGTAGATTCCCAGGAGTGGGACTGTTGGTTGTATTTAAAATTTTAATGGATTTTGCCAGATTGCTTAAAGTATAATGTTTTAATTTCCACTTATACCATTTTTGGTACATTTTTCAATTGGTTTAATTGCTTTTTTTCTTGTTGATTTCTGAGAGTGCTTCATATATTAGAGAAAGTAACCATTTATCTTTATTTAAACACTATCCTTTGCTTATTGATTTTATCATCAGTCTTTCCTTTTAAAACTTCTGGATTAAGACACTGTACATTGCAGTCTAGAATTTCTTCTAATATATGTATTGTTAATATGCTTTCATGTGTTTGTGATGTGATATAGGACTTAATAGTATTTTTCTTCTGGTTGGAGAGCTATTTGTGCCTGCACCATTTATTAAATATATTTGTTTTCTCCGTAGAACTGAAATATCACCTTTGCTGTATATGAAAATCTCTCCCTATATCTTAATTTTCAACAGTCAACTGTCAGCTTGCCTTTTGGTGACTTAAGATCATTTGTTGTGGCTCATCCAAATGATGGATTCTTTTCTCTCTCTTCTTGGGGAAGCACGGCTTGACAGTGATTCACCTTGCAGCCTGGTCTGGGAGCCTCGAGGTCGTGCTCATGCTGGTTAGAGCTGGAGCAGACCAGAGAGCCAAGAATCAGGTAGGTATGTGGGTCACCCCTGGACAGAAGCTCCCACCTCATAGTGCAGAAGGGGCTGGTCCTAAGCTCACTGTGTGATTATCTCCTGGACCCTTCCTCTCTCCAGGATGGAATGAATGCCCTCCATTTTGCAGCTCAGAGCAATAATGTGCACATTGTGGAGTACCTCATCCAAGATCTACACCTGAAGGACCTGGACCAGCCTGATGAGGTGGGCTTGCTGTGGTAGGACAGTCTCACACACACCCCCACCAAATTCTACTGTCTTTCTGCCCCTGCTAGAGCTGCCAGTGCAGCCAGCACAAACCTGCAGTGAGCTCCTCCATTGTCTTGGTGGACCAGGGGGCAGAGGGGAAGTGCAGGTACTGGCAGTGGCCCTGGCACCTGCATGTGGGGCAGGCAGGAAGTAGTAAGGAAGCCACCAGATTCCTTTGTCCCTCTCTGCTCCCTCTTGCTGGCAGGAGTGTGGACAGCATCCACTCTGTTTGGTATTCAGAATGGGTGACCGCATTTTACTCCATTATGCCTGACTTTTTTTGGAATGTATTCGACCCAAAGCTCTGCAGTAATGAGCCATGAAATATGATGTAATTTTATCATATTTGGCTATATTCCTTTTTTCTTCTTTGGGAGTTATATAATAGCAGCTACCACTTTTGAGTACTTATTAGTGGGCTAGGTACAGAAGAAAGCTACTTAGATTCATTTCAGTGAGAGGCTAGAGCCTGGTACACATAGATGTTAAACAATTCATTGCCGTATGAATGAATTATCCTATTAATCTCAATAAAGGAGGGAAGATTTTGCCCATTTTTAAAGGTGAGGAAGTTGAGGCTCAGAGAAGCTAGGTACCTGATTCAAAGTCCCAAAACTACAAAGTGACAGAGCTAGGAATTGAGTCCAGTCACTGTGCTGTACTGTCCCCCTTTTCAGGTGACAGTGGACATTGCCAATTGTCATACTAGGGATTGTCTTTTCTCTGCAATATCTGTTAGGCTTTTTTTCATAAGGTATAGTATTGTCTGGAATTGGCAGTTTTATGTTCAATGGGATCACCATTTCACTGTGCCTCTAGAACATTATTTTCCATAAAAGTCTCTAGAAGTTAATCAGTAGTATTTACTTCATTAAAAAAAAAGCTTTTATGTTCTTTTCTGACTTCAGACTTAAAAACAACAATAAAAAACCATTTCTTTTTAAAGATTTTATTTATTTATTTTTAGAGAGAGTGGAGGGAGGGAGAAAGAGAGGGAAAGAAACATCAATGAGTAAAACATCACCTGGTTGCCTCTTGCATGCTCCCACCTGGAGACCTGGCCCACAACCCAGTATGTGCCCTGACCAAGAATTGAACCAGCATCTTTTTGGTTTGTAGGCCAACGCTCAGTCCACTGAGCCACATTAGCCAGACCTATAAATTTCTTCTACTTCCTCTGAGTGTGACTAAGCATCTATTATACAATGTAGCTCGGAGGCAGAGAGACTTGGGTGATGGTCGGGGCATATATTAGCTATGTGGCTTTAAGCAAACTCTCCAGTTGCGGAGAGCCTCAGTATCTCCATCTGTACACTGAGAATAATAAAACCTACTTCTGGTAGCACCAAGGGAATGATTGGGGAGGGTGGGTTGACTTCCATATAATTCTTTTTTGGCAGCACTTCCATTCTTTGAGATAGATAATTGATATATTTTTTTAATTTTCTATAAAAATGACTATGTCAATGAGCTTCATGGTAAGCTATTCTATCACTGCTTTCCAATCAGATAGCACCCCTAAGCCATTCTTATGTAGGAAGTATCCAAGCAGCCACTGTTGGGGTGGTTAAATGAGTTCATGACTAAAGCACTTAGCAAAGAGCCTGGCACACTGCAAGTGCTCACTAAATGATTGCTGTTATAACAATTATAGGCTACAGTATACTCTCTGATTTCCTCAACCTGATAATCATATTCAAATAGCATCTGGTGTCAAGGTAAAGATGTTGGATCATTCCCGTTTGATTGATCCTAAGTAGGGATGTAGCCTTCAAATGAATTCCATTCAGTTCAATTCAGCAGATATTTGTTCAGGGCCTGTTACACCTAAGACATGTGACAGTCTTCCCTTCCAGTGGACTCTTGCTGCTTTCATGGAAGGCAGCAGTGTGTGGGGATGACCAGACAGGCTGAAAGGGTTCAAAGACCAAAGCATGTGTGTGGTGACCCTTCCCTGCTTTTGGAGCATCTTCCAGCCAGCAACTTTCTTGTCTCTTCAGCTGGTCTGGGTTTGTCCTGTTCTACCCTTCTTCCTCCTCCTCTGACTACCTGCTGGGTAAAAGGCCAAGGAGCCCTGGCAACAGATTGTGCAAGCCACATATGCAGCTGAGATGAGTTTAGAGACATATGAGGAATGAGCAAAAATAGAGATGAGTTTAGAGACATATGAGGAATGAGCAAATAATGAGCTCACTGGGTCGTCTAGGGAGAGAAGGATCTTTGAGTTCACTTTTAGTCCTGTTCAAAACCTGGATTGATCAAAGCAAAAGACAGAGTTTCTTCTTCCTCTGAAATCTGTGCGTGGGATCAAGGATGTTGGCCATTCTTTGATAAGATGTTGGCCATCCTGGGATAAGATACTGGCTCATCCAAGGATAAGGCAGTAGGAACTGGGAGCTCATGGTCTATTAATTCATCATTAGGTGTTTCATCACCATTTGCTTAAAAGTATGGTGGAGCTCCTTAAACACATATCAAAGAAAAGACTGCTCCACCTTCACAGTGTGCCCTCTGGCCTAGTGTCTTATCAACAGGAAATGATTGAAGGCCTATTTATCTTCCTAGGGTTAGAGAAATCCCTTTAGCCTCGAGGGAACTCCCAAAGCTAACAATGACAGGCCTGTTCTGAGGTCATTATTAATAAAATAGATTTAACTAGACTAGGAGAGTGTGGGTGGCTAGTTAAATGGGAGAGATGAAGAGCGCTCGAAAATCTTATATGCTTTCTCCCAGCCCTATAGCTCTAGAAATCACGTAGCCTCTCCAAGAAGCAGATTAGAGCAGCCAGAAGAAGTTGTAGGTAAATTTGGCTAGATAGTTTGAATCTCCATGTAAATTCTCATCTAGTGATCAAAAATAAGTACTCAGACTAAAAGCGGGGACACAGAAAGGAATGGCCTCAGAGGCCATTCATATATTTGTTGAATATTGACAAGAGTGTGGTGGTACAGTGTTAGGTTGGTTTCAGCTGCAGATATATGGAAAGTTCCATTGGTTTAAAGGAATCTATGTAGAAACTCGAGAGATTAAAATGCAAAGAAGCTTTTTTGCGGGGGAGTGTTGGGAATAATGAGCATGAGAGGTTTGAGGAGATGTATCTTCTTATGTGAACCTGAGGCCAGTATTTAACAGCCTTAGTTAGAGTTAACAAACCTATCAGCTCCAGTGTGTAAGGGAAGAACTAAACCCCACCTACACCATTTCCATGCTTTCATATATATCGCTGGCTCTTTCAGCACTTTCTGCCTTATGACAACATTCTTTTTCCTTCTCAGATCTCTAACTATTCAGGGACCTGCTGGTTTTCCCCTTCTGTTGGAGTTCTTCTCTGAATTCCTGACCGCAGGGAAAGGGAAAATGTGCAGTGCCCAGGTGCACACAAGGCACTGGGCGCTCTGTGCTGGGTTCCACCAGCCTCCTTCTCTCAGAGGCTATCCAAGCACCATCTCTGTGGTCCCTGTGGGGATGGATGGTCAGGTTGGATTTCGGGTGCCATTTAATGACTACTTATAAGAAAATTTGCTGAATTTGGTGAATTGTCAAATTTCATAACCCTGGCAATAAACTTAAAAATCCTTAATAATAAATAATTGCTACTCCTCATGCAACAAAAATTTAAATGTGTTGAATTAAAGCATGTTAGGTTAAATATACATTAAGGTAATAAAAGAAAAAAGGAAGAAGAATTCTGGGTCCTCCTTATTTTTGTTGATTAGGAAAGGGAATCAGGATCCTGAGCTGGGAGGGCATTGTGACTTGCCTGGGGCCCGGAGCCCGGGGCTCGGACCCCAGGTTCTACTCTTCTCCTGGCGGGACACCTTCCTGCCTGCTTGCCTTCTGAGTGAGGGGCAGTCCGGTGAGATTGCACTGAGTAGCGGCCTATCCATTAAAAAGGGTCGGGTGGCTAAAAATGAAATAAGACAGGATAGGGAACTATATTTAAAAACATATTTTTGGAGTTCTTGTTTTTATTTTACCTACATGTTCTAGTATGGGAGAAAAGATTTATATCTCTTTGTACTGTTACTTCGTCTTTCTTTATGCTATTTTTGATATGTTTTTAAGATACAGGGAGCACCTTTCTATTTACTAGAGGGGATGCTGCCCAGTTCATGAATTGTTGAATAAAGCGTATTGGATCTTTAACTTTACTTATTTATTTATTTTTTTATTGTTGATACTATTACAGATGTCCCCCATTTTCCCCACATCGGTCCCCCCGCGCCCGGCCTTCACCACTTCGTTGTGTATGTCCATGGGCTATGCATATATGTTCTTTGGCTAATCTCTTACAGGCCTCCCCACCCCCTCCCCTCTGAGATCTGTCAGCCTGTTCAATGTGCGGTGCCTCTGGTTCTGTTTCGTTCATCAGTTTCTTTGGTTCATTAGATTCCACATAATGAGTGAGATCTCCTGGTATTTGTCTCTCTCTGACTGGCTTATTTTGCTTAGCATAATCTCCAGGTCCATCCACGTTGTTACAAAGGGTAAGAGCTCCTTCTTTTTTACACCCATGTAGTATTCCGTTGTATAAATATACCACAGGTTTTTTAATCCACTCACCTACTGATGGGCACTTGGGCTGTTTCCAGATCTTGGCTGTTGTAAATAACACTGCTGTGAACATAGAGGTGCATATATTCCTTCTGATGGGTGTTTTGGGATTCTTAGGATATATTCCCAGAAGTGGGATTGCTGGGTCAAATGGCAGTTCCATTTTTAATTTTTCAAGGAAACTCCATATTGTTTCCCCCATGATCTTAACTTTAAAAAAAGATATAACTTCCTTTATGCTATTTTTGATATGTTTATAAAATATAGATTACTTTGTGTAATTTGGCTTTGACTTTTTGTTGTTGTTGTTGATGATAACTTTTTAAAAGGGCATCCAAAGTTTAAAGTAACAACTGTTTTCTTGGCGAGGATAGATGTTTCATTTGTGATAACCTCCCATTTCCTGCCAGAAGAGGCTTTTTTTGTGGGTGGATCCTCTATCATTTTGTTTGGATATACAGACATGCAAGACTGTATAGCAAAGGGTAAAAGAATAAATCCATTTTAAAGTTGAACAGACTCTGATACTTCTAGTAGTGTTTGTCCCCAAACTATTAAATATTTATGAGTTAGAATTCTTTTTGTTATGAGTGAAAAAATATCAGCTTAATCTAGATTAAGCAATAAAGGTAATATATTAACTCCTAATAAAGACTTTGAAGGTCTATTTGGCTAGCTTCAGGCATGGCTGGATGCAGTTCTTTTTTTTCTCTCCATCTCTTGGCTATCTGTGAGTTGGCATTATTGATAGGTATAGTCTTCATAAGGTGGGAAAGATGGCTGCCAGCAGCCTCAAGTTTATATTCTTATGGAGATTTTTATGAATTTTAATTCCTAAGAAATAAAATTTCTTGCTCATCAAATGCTCATATGTAAATCTCAGGGAACAACCCTTTTTGTCCTTGCTGGAATCACATGGCCAACCCAGAACCAATCACTGTGACCGGCCTGGGTTATGTGATCACTTCATGGGGCAGGTGAAGCCTGGTAATTGACAGCACTTTGAAGTGCTTGGAATGTAGACCTCCCTGGCAACATATCTGGCTCAAGAATAAAGGATTAGTTGAACTTTTTGATGCCAGTTTTTTTCTCCAGACTCTATTCATGTGCAAATGCAGAGCCCGTAGAGCTGGTTCCTGTAGACACTTTATCTTTTCTTTCTTTTTTTTTTTTTTGCCATTTATTATTTTAGCATTTTTCTTTCCTTTTTCTTCTGGTTACTGGGGAGTCATGAGCTTTATCTCAAGTTAACAGTGACCATGATCTTTTCATTATCCTGCTTTAGCAGGAGATCAGTTGACAAATCTCAAACTCAGGGACCTTCTTATAAAGAGGCTTATACCTTGTTTTTCATATTTCAAACATCTTGCTAAGCTTTTAGTTATTAACACACCACGCTAATTTGAGTTTTCTTTAGTTGAAAAAAATACTTCTGCCTCCATTTTGCTGCCCCCAACTTCCTTTCTTTTCCTTTTAAATATGTTAAGTTAGAAAATTAAAGTTTCTATGGGCCTTTCACTTTCCCTGGTGACATTTTGGCTATTACAAATGCAATCTTCATTTGCAATGTGAAAAACTGAAGAGATTACCATAATCAGAAAATTCTGCGTGGAACTTTCCTTCCCAAAAAATCCCACCTGAACATCCCTCTTAAGCTGTGTTCTCTAGGTAATGCCTAATTTCTTGATTCTGTTTCATATAGACCATTCTGAAGAGTTTTTCCTCTTGATCCTTAGTGAATAGTGGAGATAAACACATGAGTAAGCAAGCAAGGCCCGAAAAGGAGCGGTGGCTAAAAGGTCATATTTGAATGAGACATGTAAATATTGAGCCCTGGAAAATTTCTGCTTCAAACATTTTAGTCCAAAAGGCAAGGCTTAATGTGTGATATGCAGGTGCCTGAGACAGGTCTGGCATGTAATAAAATATTTGAGTGAGAGGGCTATTCAGTAAACACAGAAAGTTGGTAAAATTGCCACATTTGAAAGGGAAACTTGTCTGGCTGCGAGATGGTACCTTTGCTGGTGCTGGGAAGGACCATTTCTGAGCAGTGCTTCTCTGCGCCCCCCCCCCCGCCCCAAACAATTTTGGGCTGATGGAGAATTCCCAAAGTTTTGGGGATTAGCACAGAACTGAATCTGGTGTATGGTTAGAGAAATTGTTACCACCCTTCCCAGGAAGGGGAAGGGCCCAGAATGCTATGACCAGAAGCACCATCTTGGCTTCCTCATCATCCTCAAAATGCTGTCCACCTTGTCAGGTGTCTTGCTTGTTCAATAAGTGTATAATTTACACTGGAGGTTTATGATTGATTTTCAGAAAGGAAGGACACCATTTCTTTTAGCTGCTGAGAGAGGCCATGTCGAAATGGTAGAAAAACTTATCTTTCTTGAGCTGCATACTTCAGAAAAGGACAAGGTGAGTTGGACTTTTATTTTTTTCTTTTTACTTTCATTTCTTTAAAGAACACGAGGAAGGGGAATGACAACTGGTGTATATTTTGGTGATGGCATTTTGATTACCCATAGAGTTTTTTAGTTATTACTACAGTCAGAGAAAATCATGGACTATCCAGATGAAATTAACCCACTTTTGAAATGGATTGCCCAGATTGCTAATTTTTGATCCATAAATGGTTGGGAAATTAATCAACTACCTGGACTTTTCTTCTCATTGTCTACTCTACTCTCTTTTCTTCCCATGAAGTCTGTTGGAGACTCAGCCCCACCTGACTGGGGAGGGAAACCCTGGATGGACATCTATATCTATGTCACATAGTTGATTATTTTCTTAGGACAAATTCCTAGATGTGAAATTGTAGGTCAGAGAGTTTTGTACATTTTAAAATATTTTGGTATATACATTGCTAAAATTTTCACCAGTTTACCTTCACAGAGGTTATATGGAATTTCTTTTATTGTCCTACTTTTTGCTAGCAAGTTAGTAGCAAAGGTTGAACAAAGGATATGGAGAATAGCTTTTTTTTTCTGTTACGTTCAAACAGCTATGTATTTTCATTTAAAATTTTAAGGTATTATAAATTTCACTTAAAACTGTGGATATTGTGGCCCATGCCTTGGATCACAGCTTTAACCAAACGAACCCCCCCAGAAGCCCCATTGCAGCCTGACCCGAGAAGGTGCGTGTTCCCCAGGCGTGCACTCTGCCTGAGTGTGTCTGTGTTTCAGGAGGGCAACGCGGCCCTGCACCTCGCAGCAAAGCACGGTCACAGCTCTGTGGTGCGCGTGCTGCTCACCAAGCAGGAAGAGGTGAATGAGACCAATGAGGTATGTGGAAGTGCTCATCACAGTTGGGCATGGGGCTCACAAGCAGAAGGGTGGCAGGGGTGACTTTGGAGGAAGGAATGGGAAGAAAACAAAGATGCTAGTGTCACAGGATGTAAAATGTGATGCTAAAAGATTCCTACTTTTTTCTTTAAAGTGGTGTATAACGATTCATTTGTTAATCCATTTGTTTATTTATCCATTCATCCAAAAATATTTACTTTGTGCTCTATGCTAGGCAGACTATATATTCTTATTCTAGATGTCTATAAGGCAAGAAGGGCATTCTGAAATAATACATTGGGCTAAATGAAATAATTGATATCTATATAGTCTTCTGTGGGAACACTGAGGAAACTCTGTTTCAGAAATTACCCAGGTTTCACAGAGGAGGGGCTATATTATCTAGATCCATTTAAATGGAGTTTGGTAGGAGCAGGTTTGAGGGAAACACAGGCAAGCACAGAGTATTTCGGACAAAGGGAAGAGCCCATATAAAGAAACTGAGGCATGAAAGAGCATGGTGTGTCCTGGGGGTTACAAGTTCAGTGGGCACAAATTAAGGACAGGTGGGCCAGGAAAGGTGGGAGCTGAGTGGGCCCAGAAAGAGAGGTGAGGAAAGGCTGTGCTTACCAGGAGGGAGGTTTGGCTTTGACCCGTTGGCAGCAGAAGGGTTTGAAGCAGCAAAGAGGGATGGGAGGCATCTTGGGTATAGGCAGGTCGCTAACTGTCACAGTGGTCTAAAGGGGAGATGGGAGATCGGTTCCGGGAGAGGCTGGAGGTGGGGAGTCGCACTCAGGTGACTGTGCAAATGGCTAAAACACGAGCTGTGAAAAGCCTGCCCTCAAGGCACTCACAGGCCGCAAAGAGGATGAGGTGACGGGCGGAGGCAGGGGCCACCTGACTTGTGACCAGAGATTAGGGAGAGGGTCCGCCTTCTGACCTCCAGCTGTCTGGCTTGGACTATTGGGATGGCGGGGTACCCACCCCTAAGCTGTGGCGCACAGGGGAGGAGCAGGGAAGCGAGGGCCGCAATAAGGGTTTAGATGGGTTCACTTTGAAGTACCTGGGGCGGGAAGTGGGGTATATTCAGATGGAGAGTGGTGAGGAGAGATAAATGAGGTCTGGGGTTCAGTGGAGAATAGGGAGGTAAAAACTGGGTCTGAGGTTCAGTGGAGAGGCTGTGGCTGTGGAGGTAGATTTGTGTCATCTACTCTGGCTAGTCAGTCACTTTAACCTTTGGACCAATGGGTTTTGGGTTGGTCCTCTGGAAACTTAGATGAGTGGAGTCTTCTTGGACTTTAATGTTCTGATAAATTCTAAACTTGGCACCTCTCCTGGGAGATACTGTAAGGAGTGATATATAGTAATCAGTTAATTTAAGACACCATTGGTTATAAGGCCCATTATTATTTTATATAATACTAAGAAAAATAATCCTGCCGATGAAACTATGACACAAAAAGACTTTCTTGTCTCTTAGAATATATTATACTTATTGAAAGACTTTCTTAGACTTTTATCTTAATTTTTTTTTTAGTATACATATGTAAAGGAACAAATGAGAAAGTTAATCATTCCTATACTTCACACATTGAGTCCTATTCTTCTAAATCACTTTTTTACAGAATCTTGAGGTCCTTGCTTTTCCAAACAAAATATTACCCTCTGTGCCATTGACACAGCATTTCTTCAGAGGGTGCCGCACTATTGTTTCTGAGATTGTCTTCTAAGCCCGCCACAGGCATTCTGTGCATAATGAGCAATGACAGCTCTATTCTGTCTGCTGCCTGGTCAACAGAGTTTGTGAGATAGGTCCTGATCTCAAATAGGTTAACATACGAAAGAACATGTGACTTAGAATTGGTGGGGTGTGGTCATAAAAACAGCAACTGTGGGTAACAAAATAGAAACTGAAGGCTATACAAGTGTGCATGTGTGGTGCCTGGGAAAAGAGTATTCCCTTTGGGCCAGGAAGGCCCCTCAGCCTGGTCTGTTGTGAGGCTGGACCTGGGCGTGCGAGGTTCAAAGTGGGGCTCTGACTGCTGGCCCTGGCCGCAGCACTATTCCAGCTGGCTGATGTGGGCATGTTCCTTAGGCCCTTTCAGCCTCAGTCTCCCCACCTGTAAAATAGCCTCATAAGGCCACAGCGAGCTTTAAGTGTAAAGCCTGTGTCACACGTGTGGTAAGAGTGCAGCAAGTGGTATCTGCCGTTATTATGGTGTTATCTGGGTGCAATGAATGGGATTGTGGTTATTGTTGGTATCAATGGTATATATTGTTATCACTTTCATTATTTTCTCTTCCAGTTTTCAGGAGGATATAAGCCAGGCTATTCTGGCCAAAAATAGAGCTTCCATTTGTTTATTTGTGTGTTTGTGTTCACCCTTTTCTGACCATCTGGCATGATGATCAGGTTTAATTGATTTACTTCAATTAAAGATCCCAGGAATTTGGTCTTTTTGAATAAAACTCAGGACCAATGCTTTAGAAACCTATAAAGAACACGAATCACCGTGCTCTTGCCTTCACAAATCAATATAGAGATTGAGTCCTGTAGTCAGGATTTAAAGTCTTAGTTGTGCTTGCCCTGTCTGTTTTAATGCTTTACCATTGGAATGTGTACATTTGGGTTTCATCCACATTTTAGCTATTTTCGAACCAGGGCATGTTGGGAAGAACTCACAACATCCAACAAAGTGTAATTACAGATTATGAAAGTATTCATATGCACAAAGTAAAGAGTCTGGTGATATTATTAGCCTTTTGGATAAGGCCCATAATGTTCATGCAGTTTCGGGCTGCCTCTGTTTCTTGATAGAAGCCACCGCCAGAGCAGCTGGAGCGGCCCATGTGAATATGGGCTAGACCAGTTGTTTCCACACATTTTTGGGGAGCAGACTCATACCAGTAAAGAAAGTTTGTACGTGCACCTATCGCATATTCATTTATAATTAAATCAATACATTATAAAACCTATGCCGGAAATAGATATTTTAAAATTTTGAGATAAGCATAAATATAAATAGTGGTTCTCCTATTTTCCCCACTCTGAAGGGATTGTCCTGTATACATCTGATGTGTTTTCCTGACACTTTTCTTTGAGTTCCTATACATGCATACATTGTAGTGGCTGCCCCAAATTCATTTAGTTTATTACTTACTTAGTGTATTTCAGTTTTTCTTTATTATATGCTATCCTGAACCTCTTTGTACATACCTTAGTTTGAATCCCTCACTATTTCTTTTGGGTATATTCTTCGAGGTAGGATTGTTGGATCAAAGATATGAACGTTTATTATGCTCTTAATATGTTAAAGATGTGAATTCTTTCCTTCACATCTTTGCAAATATTTTTCCACTGGGGTTTGCCTTTTGGCCTTTTGGCATCTCTTTTCCTGGAAAAATGAGAAGGTAGGTTATGAAGAGAAATTCTGCTGTAACAGATGACTGTCCTAGGTAAAGCAGCCTGGGACACAATTTTTCCATCTTGTTAGAATGGGAATATTGGTTCTGTGCTCTTGCATCCTTGTAAACATGAATGTACATTTCTATATAGCTACAAGTAAAACCTCATGAATGTGTCCTAATGCAGTTTTTAAGGATGTTATTCTTAATATCCAATGGGGGAAATGGTTGGGGAGTGAGGGAGGAATTCTGCATTCCTTCCCAATATTTTTAGGAAAGAATTCCTAAAATCCCGTCTGCACAAGGAAGGGAAAACATCCAAGTAACTATTGTGTGAGACCTGTTCCTCTTTTTCTCTCTCTGTTTTGGCCTAAACTAAACTCACTTTGTCCTACTAGTGTTTATCATGAATTTCTGAGACAGCATATTACTTTCTTTTTTAGTGACATACAACATTTTAAATCAATTTTAAAGGTTAAAGCTATACTTTGTACAAGTGTACTTCTATTTTTGTATGTTTCACTGCATTGTAATTCCTTATTTGTGTGATTATCTTTCTTAACAAACTGTTACCATCTGGCGGGTAGGGTCTGGGTCCTATTTGTCTTTCCAATCCCAATGCTAGTAGTGTCTGTCAGATAGGAGGTGTGTAATGAATGTTTGTTGCATATATTAATGAAGGTTAAGAGGATGAACGATGGAGGGAAAGCCTGAAAGGAGGCAGCATAACAGAGTAGTTAAGAATGCAGGTTTGGGAGCCAAACAGCTGGACTTGCATCTTAGTTTTGCCACTTTTCAGTTGAGGCTCAATTTTCGTATCTCTAAAAAGGGGGTAATATTAATCCTGATCTCATGGGGCTGTTGTGTAATTTAATGGCGCCAAAGCCTATAGCCTTGGCAATGTATTCTGGCACATAGATGCTTAATAAACGCTATCCATTATTAAGACTTATGCACAAAAGATAACAGGAAAAGCACATTGTTTCTCAAGTGATTTCATTCCATGTCAAGAGGTAATTAATTTTAACACTTTTCCTTTTGTTAGAATGGAGAAACACCATTCTTCCTGGCTGTTGCAGGAGGTCATGAAGAATGCAGCAAAGTGCTGCTGGCAGCAGGAAGTGATATCAATGTCCCAAATAAAGTATGTGCTCCGTGCCGCGGTCACTCACACAGTGAAAGGGGGACTGAGGATGCTCTCTGGGTACCCCGGTCCTGTGTTGATCCACTCTCTGGGCTTCTGTAGGATTAATATTTATAATTTGCTTTGTTTTGGGTAAGAATCAGTGATTTACACCTGATATTCCGTAATTAATGTCTCCTCAAAAGCAATGCCATTTCCCCTATTTATTGGGGAAGGAATAATTGAAAATGGGGCAAAAGGAGCAAGTATTCCTTACCTCTCAAATACAGAGACACTCTTATTGTGCTTTGTTTTCACCCTACAACTAGTGCATGCCTGGCTTATTCATAGTAGATGTTGCAAAAAACCCCAAAAAACAAAAACAAAACCCCCCCAAATATTATGTAAAAACCCAGAGCTCAGCCTTGGAGCCTGGAGAAGAAAGGATAGAGTCTTCTTCTAAATACAAAATATTTTGGTGCTCAGATCCTTTGACACCTACCTTCATTTTTTTTTTTTTAAAGATGAGAAAACTTGAATTTAGAAAGGTTAAGAAACTCATCCAGATTTATACAACTAGTTGATGGCTTTACAGGCTCAAGTTCAGTGCCTGAGCTTCTAACCACTGCTATGGCCTTGTCTTCAGTTGGTTTTATGTACTTCTTCTATTTTTCTAATTAATTTTAAATTATAATGAAAATAACAAAAAATTTTGAATAGTACCAAAGGGTATATGATGGGAAGTGTCTTATTCCACATCAACATCTCAATTTCACCTTTTCATTTTTTTATTTTTTTAAGTATATTTTATTTATTATGCTATTACATTGTCCCAATTTTTCCCCCTTTGTCCCCTCTTCACCCGGTATCCTCCTTCCCTCCAGAAATCCCCCTTAATTCATGTCCATGGGTAATGCATGTAAGTTCTTTGGCTTCTCCAAATTTCACCTCTTCAGAATTAACATTAGTAATCGTTCGTTTAATCTTATCTGGAGAATGTAATTAAACACATGCAAATACTCACACTGACGCCACATAAGTGGTAGCCATATATATTGCTCTGCACCTTGTTTTTTTTAAGATTTCATATATTTATTTTTAGAGAGGAGGGCGAGAAGGAGAAAGAGAGGGAGAGAAACATTGATATGAGAGAGAAACATTTCGAATGCACCAGGGACCAAACCTGCAACCCAGGCATGTGCCCTGACCGAGGATTGAACTGGTGACCTTTCGCTTTTGGGATGACACCCAACCAACTGAGCCACACCAGTCAGGGCAGTGCTTTTGTTTTCATTGCCATTATATCTTTGAGATCTTTCCAAATCAGTCCAATGTGTGAACAGTTCTTCCTCGGAAGTGTTAAAGAATAAAGTCCCAACTGGTAATGCTTTATACCCTTGTATTCTGCTGGCAGGAATATACATTTGTTTAACCCTCTTGAAAAGCAGTTTGTCACTTTCCTTTCACCCACGTTTGAGGAATTATTTTAAGGGAGTACTCTAAAAGGAGGGAAAGCTGCATGCATTAAAATAGATAGATAAAGTTACCTCCAAATGCCAAGAATTAGATATAACCTATAAGTGCAATGAATGGTAGGGGAAAGGCTGAATAAAAATTTGGTTCACTTATTTTTTGGAAAATTATGTATCCATTAAAAATATTAATGATAAATACTAAGTATATTACAGTATAGAAAACATGGTCATGATAGAACACTAATTGAAAAAACCAGTATATGTTTATACATATATTTTCATCATATAAAATTTATATATACATGGACATGATTGTGAGAGTGTGAAAAATGAAGATAATGTGAGGTGAGTTTCACTGATGTTGCAGTTATTTATGCAATAAACGAACACAAAGCTAAGAATTCATGGGGCCCAGGAAATATTCAGAATATGTGCCGTCCTGCCCTTCTGGACTTAATTATTTGGCCCTCAGAGTCATTTGGCTTTGCAATGCCCTTTACGAGCTCTCTTCTCCTCAGCCATCTAAGGCTACAGGCTCCGTGTTGTCCATATTTCTGTGGTCTTGGCCTTATCTAGGCAGCCTGGAAATTGTCCTGAGTCTGTTTTTCCAGCTCTCATGTTACCTCGAGGTTTCCCCCTGAGTTCATTAGCATGCTTACTGGATCTACAGCCTTAGTCCCCACTGACCGTCACACCTGTCTCTGCCCAATCTAGTGAGGACCCCAGGGAAAGAGGGTGTGTGAAGCAAGGGACCGGCAACATGGACACACATTACCCAGGGGACATGCTAGACTCACTTTGCTTTCACATCTGTAGGTGATTACTGTGTTTGATCTTGGAAATGCTTTACCTGCTGACATTGATTAGTCTTGGTCTCCAGGAGATTGCTTTTGTGTCCCTACCCCCAACCAAGGGCGGCGGTAAAGAGTTGAGTAATTTCTAAGGAGGTAATTGAGGTAGGTTATGGACTTAGCTGATGGCAGAGAGTTCCTTCATTAGTGCTGGATGGAGAGGCCGCTCAGAGTTTGGGCAACAGGCTCTCTTCAGGGCCCTACTAACTGCCTTGGGTCCAGGAAGACATTTGTAGGCCCTAAGAATTCATATTTCTGGATTCCCTATCCTCACATCTTATTAAACCTATTTAAATTTCCCTACATTTCAAGTTAAATAATTTATTTTTTTGCTGAAAACTATTTTTAAAGGATCTTTTTTCATTTGTGCTTTTGTAATTGTTTAGATATGATAAACTCCCCTAATTTATGATTGACTGATTTCTTAGACCCCCTTTTTTTTGTACTTGGGAATTTCAGGAAGGTGAAAAACTTGAACCTACTACAAATTGTTTGCAAGTGTAATGTATATTTTCTGACTATTATTTTTAACAGTCAATGAAGTATGAATATGTCATTGAAGTATTTATTCATTTCTTTTGGTATCTTGGAACCAATTTTTTTTTTAAGATTTCACTTTTTTTTTTTTTTTTTTTTTTGGCTCTAAAACATCTGTAGGCCCTATGCCCTGAGCCTGTAGTACCTCATGGAAAAAATGCCCCAGACTCCCACAGATCTTCCTACCGCAGGGTTCCTGGCTTTGGGTTCTTTACAAACTTGTTTCTGCTTCAGATCTCCCAACTGGGGGCCTTTCTTACAATTCTGACCTCAGTCTAAATGTTACCCTATCCAAAAAGCCTTTCTTGATTACTCACTGGAAAGTGGTCATCCAGTTCTATTTTACTTGTCATTATAGCATTTATCACTAGCTGATATTATTCATTTAATAATACCTGGGGTATAATAAATTTATTCTAAATTTACTGATTTACTGAACTACCAATCTACAAATGTATAGATCAATTTATTGTTTAGCCCCACTGGAATGTAACACCAGCGATTATGTTGGTTTAGTCAAAACCCAGGCACATAATAAATGTTCAATAATTTTTTAGTGAAAATGATTAAGATGATAATTATGGTTACCGTACACATTTACTAGCTCATTTATTATCCCAGTATTTCTGTGTTTTGAGAGAAAAAGGTAGGATGGTGTGATAGGCAGAACAATGGCCTTCAAAGATGTCTACGGCCTAATCCTTGGAACCTGTGAGTACGTTCCGTCACCTGGCAAGGGGGAATTTAGGTTGCAGACGGAATTAAGGGTGCTCATCATCTGGCCTTAAATGAGATTGTCCTGGATTATCCAGTCACGGTAATGTGATCACAAGGGGCCTTTAAAGTGGAAGAGGGGGCCAGGCAAGGAGGTCAGAAGCCGGCAGGACGAGAAGGATTCAGCACACCATGCCAGCTTAGAAGATGGTGGGAGGGGGCCATGAGCCCCAGGGTGTGGGTGGCTTCTGTAAACTGGAAAAGGCAAAGAAACAGAGTTTTCCAAAAGCCTCCTGAAAGGCCTTTATTTTAAACCAGTGAGGTCCATTTAAGACTTCTGACCTCCAGACCAGTAAGGTAATGTGTTTGTAGTGTTGAAGCCACTACGGTTGTGGAAATTTGTTATTAGCAGCAATAGAAACTGTCACTTCTGCCATGTTCTATGGGGTCAAAGCAGTTACAGGGACCACCCAGATTCAAGGGGTTGAAGAAATAGACTCCACTGCTTGGAAGAGAGTGTGGCAGGGTCACATTGCAGAAGAGCATGTAGGGTGGGAGACACTTATACAGCCTTTTTAGGAAACATGATATCCTACAGTGTCCTTATTTAGAGGACCTGAGAATACTTTGGAGTAATCTTACAAGGAATTCATCAATAACTATTTATTGACCTTGTGTTATTATTGCAAGGCACCTTCTAGGCCTTTTGGAAGATGGCAGGATCATCAAGAGCAGGCCCTGACCTGGAGCCGTTTGGCACCTAGTGTGGGCACTGAGTGAAGACACTAGAGCACAGGAAGCTACAGGACGCAGTTGCTGGCAGTGAAGGAGAGGAGGTGCTAAAGAAGTTGAGAAAAGGGGCCAGGAGGGAATGTTGCACGTAGGTAGCATGCACACTAAGCTATGGCAGAGGAGAGAGCTGCTAGCAAATAGACAGGAGAGTGCTAGGGCTTTTGTTGGGAGCAATACCAAGTCAGCTATCTTGTCTCGAGGAGGGGTTTGAAGGGTGTGTAGAGAAAAGACTTCTCTAGTCTGTTTTGTACTTCCTAGAGTAGAGAAACAGAGATTGGAATTATTTGCCCGAGGCATGTATTACCTAGGACTCAGACTCTTTAATGGGAGACACTTAGAAGCAACAAAGTTCTGTCCCCGCACCCCACAAATTGTCGAAAACACATTCGATTTTCTTTATTAAATAGTTGTACTACTTCATTGTATCATTCGATTGCCATGTGATGAACACCAGAAAGCATGCTGGATTCTAATGAGAATGGCTCCATGTCCTCTGCACCTGTCTTGCAGCTCAATGTCAGTGCTTTGCAGATAGCGACCCAGAATGGCCATGCATCGCTTGTCAGCTTTCTTCTCAGTGAGAACGTTGATCTGCACCGGAATGGGGAAGTGAGTCTATTCTAATAATTTGGGCTTTGATCCTGGCACTGGGAGGCTGGCTGTGCTGGGAGATGCTCCTTGCAGATATGTGGTGGGGATGAGGTGTTCACAAAGGAGGGATTCTTTCTGGGAAGGCCGACTGACTTCTTTTGGAGACTGAATCTTAATCTTGAGAAATAAAATCTGAGGGTTGAATTTTAGAAAGTCATTGAGGCTCCTGAACAAAATGAAATCTGTGTGCTTTAAATATTTATATTTGCTGTAATAAAACTTTATCATGTGTCTAGAGATGTCATTATTCTTGGATTAAATTTATCAGTCTGGGAAAATGATGAAGCTGCTGACAATAGGAAGGAGAATGATTATTTTTCTCCCTTCACTGAACAATTTTGTTTTTCTTTTCAAAGTCAATCCTTTATGCTGATTTAGGTTTTCTGAAGTTTGAATTGGCTTTGGTAAAATTTACAAAAGTTCTCTGTGCTGGAATTAGATGGGAAACATTCCTCTATTTTTCACTCTATTTTCATTTCTCCTGTGAGAATATTATTTCCTCTGATCTTGCTTAGCCATTGCTATTTCTTGTATTAACTCAAGAGAAGGGAAGTGATTTGAATCACGACTGGTAGTTTTCAGAGAATGCTGTTCAGGGAATTGGCCCTGAACTTTCCTGGTCGGTTCAAAGATGCTTCCTGTGTCTCAGGAGGGGCTGGGCCCCAGCAAGGCCGGTGGTCCCAGCAGGAAGAACCCTGCCCACTTCCTGGGAGGAGGGATGCTCTCCCTCCCTTCACCCTCCCTCCCTCCCTTCCATGCTCAGTGTGTCAAGAGAGAAGGTCTTCCTGAGCAGAAGTGTCCTGCACAGAAAGCCTTCCCCTCACATTGCCCCCTCCAGCCCCATCTGTCTCTCATTTCCCTTGCTCACCCTCAGACAATCTGACTGACATAGCTATGGCATCCTACCTGCCCCCTCTTCTCCTCTTCCTCTGTGTGCTGGTGACACACTTGCCAACTCACTACATCTCTCTTCTATCGAGTTACCCCTGCTTCCTGGGAAGGAGCCTGATGCCATGTCGGCATCAGGAAGATCTGGGTTCAAATCCTGTCTTTGCCACTTCCTCAGTCCAATGCCTAGTGGAAGTTATTTAACCTCTCTGTGCCTCATATATAACTCAGGGAATAGAAAACCTGACTTCTAGGGTTATTATGAATGAAAAGTTGTATTTAATACATAGTGCTGTTGGGAAAGTGAGTGTACAGTAAATACCATTATAAGAATACATTGGATGCACATAACTGATGTTTATTAACATCTATTCCACTTGCGCGCCGCTGCCTCCGTCCTCTCCCACGCTCACATACACCTGCCTTCCCCCTCTCCATTCACTCTGCTTTCAGCTCAGTGACTCTTCGACCGTCTCACTGGATCTTCTGCTCTTGTTCTTTCACACTTGTACCTGCCTCCTGGCCTCTCCACTGGATGCTCCTCACCTTGCCCTCTCTCACAACTGTGTTTTTTCCACTTATAAGCTGCCTTCTCTGCCCTGGAAACATGTTTCCTCTCATGCCTTCGGGCCAGTGGCAGCTGGGTGAAAGGGAGGCAGCAGGAGGCCAAGTGTGTGACCCTGGAGGTGGGCACCATCACCTGGAGGGCTGGGTAAGGAGCCCGAGGGGGAGATGAGTGAAAGCATGGGGGTGTGGCCGGAAAACAGGAGTGTTAGCCACAAACACGGAGGAACAGGGAGCAGGCCGCAAGGGCGCGGTGAATACACCATGGCTGGACTCCATGGAGGCTGGAGGGCTGAGCCAAGAAGGTGCCCCTGGGTGAGTGCGGAGAGCTTGAGATCAGATCAGTTCAGGAAATGCTAAATGTGAATGCCATTTCCTCCTTGTGGCTCTTCCCACGACACTGTAGCTCTTTGAAGGCTCTGAGAAATCCTGTATTATGCCTATTTAATGCATTCTTATCCCTCATATTTGAGTTCACATGTCAGTTCTTCGGAAAGTATTTACCACCTCCAGAACAAGGTCGGCCCTCCAGCCACCCCGACGTGTGCTCTCATGCTACTCTACTTTTCCTTTAAAGCACTTATCATAATTTGTAATCGCATACACACACACACACACACACACACACACACACACACGAACACATGCACGCGTGCGCACACATGTAATATTTGTTTACCCTACTAGACTGGAAGATTTCTGAGGATGGGCAATGTGCAGCACTCAATCCCTAGCCTGGCCCGCAGCAGATGCTCAATGTATAGTTCTAGAACGAATGAAAGGAGAAAAGTGATCGCCAGTGAGCAGGTTTGCTGCACAGCCTTGGGATGGAAATGGCAGCTGAATGCTTACATTCAGCACTCAGGAGATTATCAGGAAATATCTGCTGAAATGAATTGCTTTTGATCTGAATGACGAAGCCAGAATGTTTTGGATTTGAAATTTTCGTTTCTTTCTGCAGCCTAAGGAGTCCCCTCTTCATTTAGCTGTTATCAACAACCACATCACCGTAGTAAACAGCTTGTTAAGTGCACAGCATGATACTGACATCTTAAATCAGGTAAGTCAAGCAAGGCAACACCTGGAGTGTTTATTTTCTTACATGTTTTACTACTGTGTATGTTTAGAGGTAGTTTTGATCAAGTTCAAGGTGCTCTAAAATTTCCTGGGAAGAATGTGCACATTCTTTTTATTCTTTCTCTTTTTTTCTGTAACCTGCAAACAAACTGTCTTTTTCAAATGTACAGCTGGGATTCAGCCAGTGCATTCATTTAACAGGCCCCGCATGTCTGATAAACAATAGCTCAGAGGTAAATTGCCAAAGGCTCATTAAATTAAAAGCCACTCCCCCTGCATAAAATATTGTAATGGTTGGGGGAGCCCTTTGCCTTCAGAAGGAAGCTTTGTTTCTAGATTATATTATGGACAGTAGATGTGTCTTCCTTTAGTCCAGAGGCAAAATCTTGGAATAAAAAAGTCACAATGAATATCATCCACTGGAGCAGAATCAAATGCCTCATAAGCGGAAGACATCACTGGCTGGAAGTCGCAATGGGCAGGTGGGAGAATGAGGAGGGTGGGGATGGGCACCCTATGAATCAGAACCTGCGCCCGGGCTCTGGCTGCCCCTTTCTGGGGCTGTAGGGAGGGGTTGGAAAGAGAAACTCTCAGAGAGGAGCCTTTTCAGAATCCTGAGGACAGAGCCCTGTGGACTCCTCCTGCCTCTCTCTGCCTCTTCCCAGAGAAGCCTCAGCAGTGCCCTCTGGGTGGGGACCAGCCAAGCCAGCCTAACCCACTGTGTAGCACTTAGTTTCTCCTTTGTCCAACCAGAGCACTGACTCAGATCTTTTTTAGTCTTCTCCTATGAGGCCATTTGTCCTTGAGCTAAATGGAGACTTATTTCCATTTCTGTCCCCTCCTTCCCCAGGGCCTTGCCCCCCACCCCCATCTTTTACTATCCCAAAAGTTTAGAGGAAGAATAACTCCTCTTACTATTAAATATACTTACATGTTCAACTATGTTAATGCACCCAGCCTTTCCTAATGGGCGGACTCTTTGCTACACGCACAGACAGAGCTCAGGTGTGATTTTGGTTTCACCACAATTGGCTAGATCTGCTCCACAGAAGGGGATTCTGTTAGACTACCATCCAGCTATGGAACTAGACTTTATCATTTCAGCAATATACTCAATATATAAAAATAAGAAAACATATATAAACTAAAAACTTATCATTTCTTTGTAATCTCCCCAAAAAGAGAACTATTGTTAACATTTCAGTGCATTTTCCTGCCTTCTAGACAGATAGCAACATTGTTACATGAAATTTTATTGGTATTTGATGTAATACATTTGTGCCTCTATTCTATGTTGGTATAAACCTTCAACAGGTTTGTTAGTGTAAGTGTAATGTCTTGGATGATGAGCCCTCTGAGGGGAACACTGCCATCCATAAGTGGGTCTTCAGTAAGTGCTTTTCTGTTTTAATTATGCTAACACCTTAAGCAAATTGGCCCTCTGCTCTGGTAGGGAGAGTATGGGCTAGAAGCTACTGCCCAGCTGTGTGGCCCTGGGGAAGTGGCTTCCTCTGTCTGGTTTAGGGTTAGGATACATCATAACCAATGTCCTTTCTGTTCAAATAGTTTAGAAATGTTTCACATGAACATTACTTTGGGTGGGAGGTTAAGATGGATGATTTCTTGAGATTTCATATATTTCTTTGAACACTCTCATTCTCTTGATAGGAAAATGATTATGCCAGAAAGAAATTAGAAGTCTTGTAGTCCTTTATACATTACATTGCAGGAAATTTACAAAATAGAGAGAAAATCCCTCCATCTAGATATTATCATTCTTAACATCATTGATGTATTTTCTTATATACATATTGACTTTTATATACATGTATAAATTCAGCCATGTAATATGAAAAATAGAAACTTTTATTGAAGAAGATATAAGATACAAGAAACATTGTACATAGGACAATGATGCCTCAGTCCCCTTCAAAATAGGCACCTTGGGATCTCACACAGTTCTCCCACTCACTGTCAACTGCCCTGTCATATCTTCCTGAATCTCATCGATGTTCTGAGTTCTCGTCCCTTTCAAAGGTGATTTCAGTTTTGGGAAAAGCCAGAAGACTCAGTGTGCCAAATCTGGGCTGTATGGGGGCTGAGTCACCTGGGTGATTTGATATTTCACCAAACACTCTGCACAAGACATGATGCATGAGCAGGTGCATTGTCATGATGAAGCTGCCAATCACGAGTCGCCCATAGCTGTGGCCTTCTGAATCATCCGAATAGTTTCTGAGGAGGAATGCTTAAGCTTAATGCAAAATTTGATGCAAATTCATTGCTCTACTTGTTCAGTCGTTTTGAATGCAGTGGCCACACAGTACACATGCTCACTCAAGGGCATCTACTGTCTTCACTGACTAGTACAATGAAGTCATCATTGTTCACATAAATGCATTCTAGTCCACTCTCCTTGGCTGCCAGGTTACATCGATGTCCCACAAACTGTTCTCGTTCTATTAACAACAGTTGTACTTTTTCTGGACAGACCATATATATATGTATAGAGAGAGAGAGAGAGCGAGAGGGAGAGAGAGGGAGAGAGAGAGAGAGAGAGCATGCAAGTGAGGGCGTCCTTGGCTAAATACGGTGTTGTTTCTTTGTTTCCTAAGGCTTTTAATGTTAAGTATTATTTTTATTTTTAAAAATAAACATTGAGACTAGTTTTTATTGTGACAAAATACACATAACATAAAATTTACCTTTTTTAACCATTTTTAAATGTACAGTTCAGTGGCATTGTACATTCACATTGCTATAGAACTATCACCTCTATCCATCTTCATAACTTTCTTTGTCTTCCCAAACTGAAACTCTATACCTATTAAATAATAACTCCCCAGGCCTCCTTCCCTCAGGCCCTGGCAACCAACATTGTACTTTCTATCCATAAACTTCACTATTCTAGGTACTTCATAGGGAAATCATTTAAAAAAAATCTTTTTAATAGTTGCCTACTATTCCAATATGTGGACACACCATAGTTCATCTAATGAATCTTGTTAAACATGTAATTTCCTATTAGTTTTTCACTGTCATAAACAATACTGCCACAAATATCCCCTTACCCACTTAAAAATATGTGATTTTATCTCTTTTTCCTTATGCCTGTATAGGACACCTCTATTTTCCCTTTGTCTTTTCACTATGCTAGTTTTCTCCCCTTCATAGTGTACTTGGATTACAGTTTTGAAATTTCTCATGGCAGAGACAGCAAACTCCTTTGCACATAGCTGCTGACCTTGGAAATGTGGAACTGGTGGAAACCCTGCTGAAGGCCGGCTGTGATCTAAAGGTCGTTGATAAGGTAACCTCATGGAGTTCACTCTGTTCAGTAAGATGGTTGCTAAGAACGCCTTGTTGGCTATCCGCCTTGAGTAACAGCATAACCTTTGAGAAATGGATGCAAACTGGAGAAAACGTGTGTAAAACATCCCGATTTTGATTAGGACAGGACAGTAAGAATTTTTACTGTGAACAATAAAATATGAATTTTTAAAATTCAAATTATTTATTAACTTTTGGAAAAGATTATGGATTCATATGGTTCAAAAAGTTCTAAAAATACATATAATTAGTAAAGGTCTGACAGTATAAATTTCCCAGTACCCCATCCCTCATTCCCATACTACCCTTGCCTTATGTATCCATTATTATACATTTCTCAGTTCTTTCCAGAGTTTCTTTATGCAGAGATAAGCAGACATAAGTATATTATACTCTTCTTCATTCCTGCATCCTTTTTACAGTGGTGATATACCTCTGTATATTGTTTTGCATGTAGCTTTTTTGTTTTAACAATATACAGTGGAGATCATCCCATATTAGTACTTGGGGAATTTCTTCCTTCTTTTTTACACAGCTACATAATATACTGTGGTACGGACATACTGTTAATTTAACTAATCCTCAACTGATGGGCAATTAAATTGTTCCTAAGCTCTTACTATTATAAAAATAGCTGCAGTAAATAAGTGTACACATGCATGTCTAAACTTGTTAATGCCCCATCTGAACTGTTTTTAAGTGTGAAGTTTAGTATTATTAAGTGCATTCACACTGTTCTGCAACCAACCTCTAGAACTTTTTCATCTTGCAAAATTGAAACTTTATGAACAACTACCCATTTCCTCCTCCACACGACAACCCTGGGCCTGGTAATCACCATTCAAATTTGTCCCTAGGTACCTACTGTAAGTATAACCATACAGTATTTGCACTTTTGTTGTGACTGGCTTATTTCACTTAGCGTGATGTCCTCAAGGTTCATTCATGTTGTGCATGTGTCTGAATTCCATTGCTTTTTAAGGCTAAGTGGTATTGATTGTATGACTATACCACATTTTATTTTTTCATCTGTGAATGGACATTTGGGTTGCCCTCACCTCTTGACTATTATGTAGATTCATTTGATGAAGTAATGCAGGTTTGCCACTGGAGGGGAATAAGACAACTGCCACTAAATTCCAGCTTCGCTGAAAGGTGTAGGTGCAGGAGACTGCTGTGCGGCAGGCCTGTTAGGGGCTCACGCACATGCTGTATTCTTTCAGTCCTCACATCTCCTCTGTGAAGAGGACAAAATAATCCCAGTTTTCAAGACATTTGAGAGATTTAATGACATCAGGGCACATACCTAGTAAGAGCCTGGCTTCAAACCCAAGGCAAATGGCTGGTTGGTTGTCCAGTATTTTCCTACAACTGTCGGCAAAGCTGGCTGCTTCCAGAACGTGCAGTTCTTCCTGTCCTTGTCTTCCCCACACTGTTCATCAGCTCAGCACATTCCGAATTCCCAGGGCAAGTCTGCGTCCACCCCACTCTATTTCAGAATCACCTATTTCACACTGTTAGGATCTGAAGTAGTGACGTGCTATTTTACTTTCCTCTGTATGTCAGTTTTTTAATTAACTCTTTTCTGATCATAAAAGTAATACAAGCCCTCTGCGGGCACCCTGGAAAACACAAGTTTTCCTTATGATAGGAAAACCCATAATTCCATCACCGAGGTAGAATCCCACCAGTTGTAGCTTGTTAACTTCCGATAGCATTTAGCGTTAGTATTAACATTTAGTTTTAGTATTTTCCTATGCTTTCTTTTTGTACTTTATTCTACTTGTTCATTAATGTATCACAGCCCCAGGGAAGTCTTGTGGGCAGAGAATTTAGATAACATTGGCAGGAAATTCACGTTGGGTCCCCTGGTGCTAGTGGACTGGCTATTCCAGTAAACACTATTAATGTTACAACTTGACTTTGTTTTTGGAACAAAAGCCCACAGTTTCCTAGACCTCACAATTTGATTTTCCCAGATTTCCATTCTCCTCCTCCCTCTTTCGTCTCAGGGCCTGAAATACAATTGGCACCAAATACATATGTAATTAACGAATAAAAGCTACTTTTTCTATCTGCTCCTACAATTTTTACCCAAGATAAGTGACTGTTTCTAAGACTGAATTAAGATCTGGATGGAAAAAAGGAGCCAAGGTTTGGCATAAATTTGACTTTCCCAGAAACCTGTTCTCTGGGCCTGAGACATTTGTCACAAGGCCCCCAAGAGCCTTTTACCCTCAACAGCTCAGTATTTGGATTTCCACGCCGGCACACACTCAGGGAAAGGTTTCCTGGGAGCCTGAAAACTCTGGCTCTCAGAATGCTGCCTTCCCAAAATAGACTAATTATGGTGACGCAAATGGCTTTACAAGCCAGAATTTAAACAGTGTACAATTAGAGGTTTGCTGAATGCCTGCAAAATGCAGTTCTTTCTAATCTCATTACTGTTTCTTTTGATTAGGAGCTGATTACTTTGAGCCCTAATTTTCAGGTTCACCTGGGTCTTAGCGCCTGGACTAACAGCCAAATGATTTGGGTTGGTGGGAATTGCAAATAGTCATATATGAGAGAGTTGTTCGGTTACATTTCTGGATCCCTAAGCATAGAGACATCGGTTCCTAAGATTGGAGCTTCTTCTGGGGTTATGTCTGACCATACATTTAAATTTTCATCAGGGCTCTTGAGCAAATTTTTCATGGGCCATTTGCAAAGCAAATAAAAACCACCTTTGCTCAGGAAGAAGTGTAGAGATGTGTAGATTCTGTACTGCATAAAATCTAGGGGAAAAATATCTAGAGGGCACTGCTTGCAAAGCTGTATGTCCTGGCTTCGAGCTATATTCATTTTGATAAAAGTGTGCCTTTTGTAATTTGTATAAGGTCCCATATGGACACCAGGCCACTCATGCCCCAAAGTATGTTTAGAACAGCCATTATCAGTCATTGTATTTGGTTAAGATTCCAATCCTCACCCTTGGTTAGAAGCAGTAGGATATCATAGAAAAAGGGTCTAGTTAGGAGTCAGCAAACTGAATTCTGTACTATGAATTAGTTGTGTTGTCATGACTGATACTACTTTTAATAAGATCCAGTCTTTTTCTGTCTTATTACTCCACCTTCCTCAACACATGGCTTCCACTTCCTGGTCTAAGGTGCCTGTATAAGGTCCTGCCATCATGCCAGCATTCCACTCAGGGGGAAGAGGAAAGGGAGGAGAATGACATCCTCCCTCTCTTTAAAGATTCTTCCTGGAAGTTGTGTGTGCCACTTCCATTTACATACGTTGGCCAGAACTTAGGTCACATACGTAGATGTAAGGGAAGCTAGGAAATGTTTGGAATGGCCAAGTGCCCAGCTAAAATCCAGAGGTCTCTTCCTATAGAGGAAAGGAGGAAAAGGCTATTGGGTGGTAGAGGGTGGAGACATGTCCTCTGGCTGAAGCTTCTGCCACAGGTGGAGTCTGCCTTTGAGGAGAAAAATGTACAATCATGTTATTTATTTGCTGAGGACATTCCAGTGCAGTGAGCCAGGGAGACCCCTGGGGGTATTGGAAACATGTTCGCGTTCTCGTTGATAGACCATATGTAAAACATTACTTGTTGATGCTGGGTCCCTAAGCCCAAACTCTTTCCCTTGACCAGTTGATACAGCACCAGGCACTATCATTATCTAGCATTTTTTTGGACAATTTGCATGTGTCATGCACTGTCCTAAGGCCATGACATGCATTATCATATATACCTCCTCCACTACCCCATGGAGTAGTTATTGAGATGGAGAGAAACTGAGGACTGGCCCAGGTTCACTTTGCAAAGAAGCAGTAGGGTCAAGATTAGAACCTAGGCTCTTGTTTTTGAGACTTCTTAATCACTAAGAAACACCACCTGATATATTCCTTTTTAACTTTTAGCAAGGGAAGACGGCCTTGGCTGTGGCCTCCAGGAGCAACCACAGCCTTGTCGTGGACATGCTCATAAAAGCAGAGAGATACTATGCCTGGAGAGAGGTAAGGAAGAACAATTCCATTAAAAATGCATTGGCTGTTGTGACATTTCTTTACCCAAGATGTCGCCTCTGTTTCTGTTGGGGGTGGGTAAATGACAGGTTGAAACAGAAGCAAGGGACACCACACTGAAAAATCCCTTACATTTCCTGTGTCAGACAGATAGTACGCAAGCTTTTTATTTCAGACATTTGTCTTCAGTTTGAACAAAAAAAAATGATCCAATAACAGGTAACATTGAAAACGTGATTCGGTTATCACCTTACCAGTTATATCTGAAAATGAATATTCTGTAATAAGGCGATAAGCAGAAAATGTCTGACATCATCTGATACTTCCATTTAGAAGCACAGTGAGAGCATCAAGGACCAAGTAACCGACTTTCCTCTGACATTCAAGCAAGATCACAGTCAGGAGACCAGGCATATTCGCCGTCTCCTCTGGAACCTGGCTTATCGTCAGCTGAAGGCCAGCGAGTGGCAGAGGCTGGCCCGGTTGTGGAACTTCACCGAGGACCAGATCAGAGCCATCGAGGAACAGTGGTCAGGTGAGCACGGCCTAGGTGATGTGGCAGGAGGCATTCTGTGTCAGGAACAGCAGCCCTTCCTGCTGAGAGATCTTCCAAGTAAGTGCCAGGGATACAGACTCCGGGCTCCCTCTGGGGATGCCAAGCCACGGACTCATTTCAGCCAGACTCCGGCTGTCAGGATTAGTGCGGTCACGTCAGCTGGAGTCTTTAGCTTTGCTTTTTAATGATTTGGCCCAAACCTAGAAAATATACAAAGTTTGTTTGGCATTAACCAACTATTTAAAAACAGAAGCAAACACTTTTCATGGCAAAATGTTCTACTTACAGCACTTTCTGTACATGGATACCATGCGATGTGAACGAGTCCCATGCTGGGGTTGGTTCGCTTTGTTGCCCACTGACGACTGCAGGTACAGAAGCCCAGCCGTGGCACGGGCAATTTGTACCACAGATTACAGCGATTTTTATGGCCTGTTTTCATGTGAAAAAAATAGAAGATGTTGAATATTGACTGTAGTATCCAAAAAGAATTCTTTGTCATTTTTCCTTTGTCATTAATCAGGTATCTATAGTGTTCTGTGAAGTCTTTAGGAAAGTTGTCCTCTGAAAATTTCTCTTGACCTGAAGAAATGATTTGGAACTCTAGTGTACCCTCATTGCCATTGTACTTGCCCCTGGGGCGAGGGGGATTTGAGGTGTTTCAGTCCAGCGCTACGGAGCGCTTAGAGTGTGCTCAGGCCAGGCGAGGGAACACCTGCTTGGTAAACTATGGCGCATGTTTGACAGAGTTTATACTGCAGTTGGCATAACAGTAACATTCACAGTCTATTTATAGTGTGACCCAGGTAATGGCACCAGGGAATGTGTGGACTTTTGAGCAAAGGAATGACATGTTATTGATGATATTTGAGAAATATTAGTTCCACAAGTGTAAGATTAGGAGGATTCACCTAAGAGTACAGTCTTCATGCATGCTCTCCCTGAAATGCCTGCCCCTCTAACAGTCTGTCCAACGAACTTCCCCCGCGGAGCACAGGCCCTTCTCTTATGGCATCTGTCTGCTTGGGGGCACACACTCAATAGAGCCAGAAGCCTGTCTTGTGTTTGTAACTGTGAACTCCTGCTTGGAGGGCCAGTGGAGTCTCATCTGCACATCCCAGCACTCCCCCAAACACTTCTCAGGGGTAGGTATTCAGGGAGTATTTGTCCAGTACTCAGTGCCCCAGACGGTGGGGTCGCAGACTTCCGTCAGAAACTGGAGTGGAGGAACAGTCCATGCTTGCTGCTCAGGGTGTGGGTGACGGACAGCAGCAGCAACCGCAGCACCCGCGAGCTAATTAGACTGACTGAATCAGAATCTGCATTTTTCACAAGATCTTCAGGTGAAATACGCACTTTGAGTTTGAAAAGCTCCGTATCTCATCGAGATTGTTCCTCACCGCAGGGCAGGGGTGCAGCTGTAAAACCCTCGTCCGCTCCTTTGGGCTATGGCAAGCACGCTAGGTGCATGGGAAGTGCTGGGGTCAGTCCAAATGCTGGTCACCCTGAAGCAGCCCCAGCGAGGCCAGCTGCAAGGGCTCTCAGCCCCTGACCTTTGCTCTAACAGTTGTCAGCAGAGGAGTGAATATGCAACCAAAGTTATAGAGAAAACTCAGAATTGAGATCACAGTGATAAAAAGAGACGTCATCAGCAGGTGGTGTTTGACCTCTGACCTTTTGTGTATGGCACAGGAAAGGACAGCTTCCGTGAACATGGCTACAGGGCTCTGCTTATCTGGCTGCATGGGACCCTGATAATGCAGGACACGCCGGTCAAGCACCTGTATGAAGGGCTGGTACGCGCGGGTTTTCCAGAACTAGCTGGTGAGTGGCAGTTTTCAATAAACAGATACTCCTGCTCCCTTAAAATGTTAGGGGACCCTTGACAGAAATACTACTATCCTGAAAAGCAACAGCCCCAGCTTGGCGATCACTGTGGCTCAGTCAGAATACGCAGCTCCTCCTTTGGTGAGTGACTCAATCAGTACTTGTCCTTTTTTTTTTTTCCCTTTAGCCCTGTGGTTCTCAGTGTCTCAGTGTCAACTGGGCATTTGGGAAAGTATAGGAGTATTTTTGTTTATGTGTCTGTGTTGGCGGGGGTGGGAAGGTGGGGAAGGTGACAGGGGGACAGGAACACTGGACCATGTCATGAGGTTATAGGTTCTCTACAACTAAGAATGGTCTTGCTCCAAATGCTATTTGGCCCCTGTTTGGGAAACTGCAAGTTAGTGTACTTAAAACTATTATGTCTAGGTTGAAGGAAAAGAACAGACAGGCTATTGCTTTGCTAGCTGAGCTTGCTGTTAAAAAATCATTCTGTCAAAGATTATATTGTCAAGGAAGATGCTTTGAAAATTTATCAGTAAATTAGGTGGTGTTGTAAATAACCAATTCAAGCAAAATATAGCAACATCTGCCATTATTTTCCTGATGCAGCTTTACCTGAAGCTGAGAACATAAATGTATGATTCGATGAAACCTACCTTCTATGACATTATCTTCATAGCATGGGGATTGTTCCCTCAACTTTATATTTACTCGTTCCTGGGAAAGTGTATCCATAAGACTCCCCAGGAGGTGACGAGAGGCAGTTCTCTGAAGTGGTGAAGGGCATGCACTCTGGACTGGTATCTGAACTCCAATGCTAATAGGCTGTGTGGTCTTGAGAAGTTCTGTAACCTCACTGTGCCAGTGATCTCATTTACGAACTAGGGAAAAACCTGTCTATGACAAAGGGCTGTTGTGGGGTTAAGGGCATAATAGTGCCTGCCTGGCACATAGTGAGTGCTTAATAAATGTTAGCCATTAATAATAAATGTTATGCTATTTTTTTTTCCAGAAAAGATCCGTCAATTCAAAAATGAAACTGATTTAAACCCCAAGAAATGTGCAGTTTCATAAATGCCTAGAGAAATTGTATTTGAATGATTTTCCACTCAGCATCCAGTCTTTTTAACTTCAGTTCTTTAATGCCATAAAGTTCCTCTAGCAGTAGGATGATTTTCCTTTCAACTACGAAGATGGTGGTAACAGGATCCTTTAACAGATGAAAAAATGGTATTATACTTACAACCACTGGAATGAAAAGTCAGAACTTTTTTTTGTTTTTAAGGCAAGCTGTATATGATTTTTTTTTGGTTTGTTTTTAAGGCAAGTTATATATGATTTTCCCATTTCTTTCATTTGATGCAATGTATGTGATAGTATAATCTAGGATTTTGTACATTGTGCCTTAAAAAAATCTGATGGTGAGGGCAGCATCACAGCATATGGGAAAACCCAGGGTTTTATGATAGACCTCGTTTTGGGTCATGGTTTTGCCACTTATTAGTTATGAACTTTTGGGCATTCCAATATTCAAATTCTCAAATCTTCAGTGTCCTTCTATACAAAAAGGAAGAAATGCTTACCCTAGCATTTTGCTGAGGATGAAGGAAGAATGCCTGGAAATGTGTAACCTCATGCCCATAGTATTGAAATCATTAACTGTTACTTCTCAAGAAAAACTGGCTTTGGAAATTTATAGTTGCTGTTGGCTTTAAATACACATATGTGTAATATATTACTTAGAAAAGATCAGAAGTATATATACCAATATTTTTTCTCTCTTGGGGATTTAATTAGAGGTGATTTTATTTTCTTTGTACTTTCCAATTTTTTTCACAATGAATGTTTTATTTTTGTAATCTGAGAGTTATTAAATAAATATAAAATCAAGTATCAATTTATGTCAGCATACATGCACCTATTCATTATAACTTAAGGCTCTTCGTTCTCAAATTCTGACTCTAGGCCTAGAAGGCCAGAAATAATATCGTGAGCAATTTCAGTCCAGTTATTCTGTCATAAATTATAGTTCTACATTTTTGGCCCACTTAATGTTATGAGTCTTTAAAACAGGTAATATGTTCACATGATTCCCAGAAGTTTTTAACAAAGGTATTCAGTGAAAAGTCTCCATCTGTTCTTCAATCTGGCCAGTTTCTAGTGACTTTGCTATTCCTCCCTACCCTCCATCCCCCGAAATCTGGTAACCTCTTGATATAAAAATAAATATGAACACATACTCTTATTGTATAAAGTGTTTTAATTGTTGAATTTAAGTTAACTTAGGCTAAACACTAATTACTTGATGCTTTAAACAATATATAGTTTCCAGAGCTTAGGTAAAGTTTAAAAAGATAATTATAATATTCTTAATTACAGTAGTCATAATACAGCCTTCCGTTTGTCCACATGGTTATGGCTTGCATACTGAAAACTGTTCCTAATTGTAATCTAGATTCTTCAAAAAGCAGAGCCTGAAACCCAAGTTTACGTGCCACTGTTTTTTCCCAGAGTACAAATCCAAAGAAACAGGAGAGAAGGAAAAGAGGTGCTATGGGGAAGGAGCGGAAGCCAGACCAGGGTGAATTACTAAATTGGCCACCGCTTGCTATCAAACCAGATTTGACCTTGAGGGTACTCTCTTCCAAGAGATGAGACGGGATGGCTGTGCCTCTCAGGACAGTTCATACAGGGGAGAAAGGAAGAGCTGATCTGTTTACCACCATGGTGGAGCCTGCCCGTCTCTCATGACTGGCCTGGGAGTGGAGGAGCCCCGGGAAGGAGTGTGCCCGCTGAACAGCCAGCGGATGAGGTGCTGTTGGGAGCTGTTCGCCACAGTAGTAGCTGGGCCAGAACCCAGAACAAATATTGCGTGAGAAGGATCGAATACTCTTTTAAGACATGGCCAGGTACTCCTAATAATTCACAAAAGCCTTGGTTTGCCCCTTTAGCAGCATAGAACTAAGTCACATTCCAAATGGAAGCGGCTTCAGGTTATTAAATATGTCTATTTTGGTTAAAAATGTGAAAATTGAGGTCCTAGACAGATTCTTCTTGTTTTTAAAGTAACCCGTAAGTACTTTAACCCAGGCAGCCAGCAATAAAACCGTTAGCAGCTTGGTCCTGTTCTCCTGGACCAGTTTTGCCCGGGGGTTTCCGCCTAGTGGCCAGCCACTGAAAAGTCTCCACCAGGCTTGGGAGATATGCCAAGTCGCTCAGGGCTACACTACCGCAGGGCACTGTTTGGACATTCAGAGAGGACAATATAAGTTCAAAACTGTAGTTTCAAAAGAGGCAAAGAAGAATACTTCTAAAAGGATGTTTCTGTAACTGTTTTTGTGCTGGTAAATTTTTCCTTTTTAACATTAAAAATTATTCATAGGTATTGCTATTTCCCCCTATTTTTAATTACTAGAGAACTAGGAAAATGAAGACAAATATACTACAGTCACAAAAAAATTTGTGATGAAAGTATTACTTTTGGCCTTTATCTTTTTCACTTAAAAATAAAAATACCTTAGTTTCTATTAGTTTTAATAATTTTTAAAGTAAACTTTTCCTAAAATTTACTTGGTAACATTGGAAATGATTCCTTTTGGAATAATACAGAGAAAACAATTTATATACTTTGATGATATAATCAGCCACAGGCTGAATCTATTAAAAAATATAGTCCAGTTTCTTTTTTAATTCAAAAAAGTTTTACTTAATTGCTTAAATTAAAAAATAACATTAAAACAATCCTACATATAGTTACAAAGGATGATGTGGCTTGAAAAAGTCTTTTGTGATTTTGAAAAGATGAACATGATGTATCCACAATGTTCTAAAAATATGGAAAAATGTGAAACTACAGACTTCTAATCCTTGGTAAAACCAGAGGACTTAAAAGATCTTAATATGCACATATTCATTTTAGTCAACCACTTTGATGGAATGAACGCTGGCAAGTGACTGAGTGTGAGTTGATCTGGTCCCGAGAGATCTGGAAGCCGAGGTAGCACTCTCAGGATGAATAGTCCGGGGATATTTTGCTGCAGCAGCTTGAGGAATAGTTTGCTGAAAAGATAAAAATCTGTTTTAATAATCCCATAAAATTACACATATTAAATATCATTTTATCATCTGTGATTTAATCATTAAGTGTCAGTGGATACAAACAATGAATTGGATGCAGTAGCCATTAAAACAAACAAGATGTGGTCCTTTTCTGTAAGGAACCCACACCAGTTAGACTGATGTGCTCAACACCCACAATCTGTAGCAGAGCTTATTCCAGAGGAGCACGAGGCGAACCATGGGAGCCACCCTTTCCTCAAGGAGGACTCAAGTGGATGGAATCTTATAATGTTTATAGAAGCTAAGGACAGAAAGGGACTTCGTGGTGTTTGGAAGAAGGGTCTGCCCCAAGCTCTCCCTCTTGTTCATTCTATCCAACTTCCTCCTCCTCGTATCTGACTGTTAAAACATGGAGTCCGATCCTGAGGAACTGCGGGAAGCCCTGAGGAATCCAGGCTGGTCCTTGCTTCAAACCAGCGTAAAGCAGTCCCTTGTAGTTCACCTGGCTCACCTGGGAGCTGACTAAACCTTTTATGATCACACATGAGGCAGTCTTCCCAGAGGCCCAGTGCTCTCTCAAAATGGACCACAACTTTCTAAATTAAGAAATAACTAGATGTTGAGCACATATATTGAGGGGAGGATATGCCCACTACCTCCACGCTCAGAGGAACATCTTAGACATGAACACAGAAGCATTAAAGTCAGGGCACATCTGCCTTCATTGATACATGTAACACATTCAAGTTCATGCTATGTTCATTAAGTATGTATTACATGTATACACATACATATGTACACATATAAGGCTTTCCTGTATTATGTCCAATACAGCTTCTTAGTAGGCAGTAGTAGAACTTGTTATGCAGACAAATTCTCAGTCCATGTCACTGACCAGCACATGCAGATTCTCATTAGGTCTTCTACTTAGAAAAATCATCTCTAAAATACTTGAAGTAAAATGATATATATTTGATTAAAACATTCACTATATATTTCAAAAGCTCTATGATACAGCTATGAGGGTCTTCATTTCAGATTCTGCTTTAAGAATAAAAGCTCCTTTTTAATACAATGGAAAAATAACCTTCTTAAAGTATTTTATATTAATGTTTCTTTGTACATAAATAACTGGGTAATCATTACAAATGGAAGATATTCTCGCCACTAGTATGAAATTTTATTTGCTAACCCCCTAATCTGACCCTGTCAGAGGAGCTATTTTTCCTCGAGGAGGGTGGGCGAGAGGAACTGTAGAAACAGGTTCATGTTACCGCGGGTATCATGAGCTACCAAATTGGGCACAGAATGAAGTAGCCCCAGGAGCAAGTCGTCATCCAGCAGGTGGGGCTAAAGTGTCAGACTCGATTACTGGTTTAATAGTGGTGTTTCTGGTAGTTCTAGATCTTAATTTCTGGGAAAAAATGAAACATTGTACAGAGGACTGCCATCATGTCTGTCACGAAATCCACATTAGGTACTGATGGGAGCAGCGCGTGGCTTTCTGATTCACGGCCACTTACTGGAGGAGTACTGCGCGAGCAGAGTGAGCGAAGGGCAGTTTGGGAGTATCAGAAAAGGGTTATAAGTCTTTAGTGCCTTATTTCTCTTTTGCAAAATATGAATTTCTATTATTAATCCAAAAACAAAAGGTTGTCTGCATTAAAAATCAACAGGTGTGCTCTCTTTAAGCCTTCTTCACCTAGATGGACTTCTTTATCTGCATCATAGGTGCTGATAAAAATAGAAATGTGTTCATGTCTTATTTTTTATTATCTTGCATATTAAAAAGTACACGGAGAAGCTGCCTCGGACGTTCCGAGCCTGCCCAGCCTATGAGGGCCCCAACAGCCCTCCACCCTCGCATCCTCCTCTGCACTTGGTGCCTCCGTCTTCCACGTCGCTGGGGTCACACTCTACCTGAGATTAAATTTAAATAATCAGCCCAGCTTCTCTTGATTTAATCTAGTGGCTAGAAAAAAAAAGGATTTTAAATCATTCCATGTGTCTTTTTTTGCTAATAAGTTGACATAATAAGCAGACAGGAATATTGTCTAATATTGAGACTTTATATAGAGGGCTATTTTCAAATCAATCCTGTTTCTCTTTAGGGATATGTTCTCATATAACTTTTAAAAATTAAACTTTTTAAGATAATTATTGATTACATACAGTTATTAGAAATAATACAGAGGTTTCTCTGTATCCTTCTCTAGTAACTTTCATTAAATTAAATTTGCTTATAGTTTTGTAGTTTACAAAGTGTCTTTCTACATCTCATTTAATTTTCACATTATCTCATTTAATCCTAAATCCTGACAATAAACCCTAGGAGCTAAGTACTCTTATCACTCCCTTTTTCCCTTTTTACACAAGAGAAAATGGAGGCTCACATATTTTACTTGTTTTCTATATGATCACAAGGGCAGTAAGTAGCATAATTGGGGCACTAAGGATTTTTTTGTTTATGTTTGCTTAAATTCCATGTACTTTTCTTTATGGCACATGAATTTATTGCAATTTGAAATTTTTTCCAAACTAGAAATATGCTGACAATTGTATTGAAGGGGAAGAAGACTTTTTTAAAAAGGAGCAAAAGTTAAAAACTTAAGCAGGGAACTATTTCTTGTAATCAAAAACCTTCTACATGAACAGCTAGTTAATGAATCAACAGTTTTTGCTTCTTTTTTAAATTAATGAGGAATCTTTTACATATTTTCCCCTTCTGACCATAGACATACTGGATTACTTTTTGTATTTGATCATTTTTTCACTGTTGAGAAGAAACAATGTTTCCGAAATCAATTTCCTAAAAGAAAAAAGGCAGATTCAGAGCAGGTGTGACAATTTTAAGTATCGAAAGCCACAACAGTAAAAGGCAGAATAAGGACTGGTCATCATGAATGTTGATCTCCTCAACATGTCATTTAAGTGTTGATTATACTATAAATCTCAGGAAAAAGATTTTGACAAAAGGTTATTAAATGTGGACTCACCACTGTGACTGGATGATGTTTTTCCACAACAACTGAGCTCATGGGAGGAGAAACTCCCATTATAGCTAAACTGCTGCTAATTCTGTTTTTTGAAGCAAAATCACATCTCCCTGTGATGCGGGCTGTGATTGTTCTTCCCGCTTTCTGCTGTGCGGATGTCACAACTCTGGGTATGTACTGAAAAAGCAAAGAAATGTCCAGTCAGTAGAAAATCCAGAGCCAAATTGATAGTACTTTTGGTTCTATAACTTATGAAGAAAATACACAGGCACTGAAACTTTAAAAAAAATTTATTTAGAAATTATTATAGATTTATAGGAAGTTGCAAAGATGGTATAGAGAGACCCTGTGTATTCTTCACCCCAATAATTATGATATCAAAACCAGGAAGCTGACATTGGTGTAATGCTTGGGTACAGTTCTACATCATTGTATTTACATGTGTGGATTCCTTTAACTCTCATGGCAATCAAGGCACAGAACCATCCCATCACCATAAAGATCTCCCTTGTGCTACCCTTCAGTCATCTCCATCTCCCCACACCATCTCTAATCCTTGGCAGCCAGCCGTTCATCTCTTTTATGAACTCTTTTGATCCTTATGCACGATGAATATCATCATCATCATACCTATGCTTTGTGTTCTGCCTTTTTTCTTAGCTTTGTTAGTATACTTGTCCCATGAATAGAGAACGGCTATAATTTTTGAGAGATTTTAATACCAACAAACTACAGTTAATCTAATTATCTCAATTCTCTTACTGTTATACATAGCAAAGTTTCGTAAAAAAAGAATTCCCATTCTCTGATGAGTTTTTTTTCTGTAGGATATATTGTAAACTAATGCAATGATCTGATCAAAAGTTAACACACAGCAACTTTTACAGCTTTTGTTGTTTACTACTGGGCAACACTCCCTAAAGAATTACATTTACATCAGGAGTAATACATATGAGTACTCCTTTTGTCCCTCTGTTAACTAATTACATTAGCTGGGCAAAAAGCAAAAGGAATAAGAAAAGAAAAGGAACTGACATGTTCTACTTTTGTTACTGATTGTGTCCACAGCCAAGTTACTCTCTCTAAGCCTCATTTTCCTCATTTACAGAATGGGAAAGCAGCAGCAACTGCCTAATGATACCCTTTCATATTCATTCAGAGGAAGAGAAAGTTAGAAGAGAAACTTTACTAAGTAAATAGCTTAAAAATCCAACTAAAATCTCTCAGTTAAATATCAAATGGAATTAGAAAAAGTAAAGTGCCATCTATTGTTCAATCTCATGAACTGCAATGTATTTGCTTGTATAACTGCCTAATGTATTTTTGAAAAATGTTTCCCACCATGAAATTTTGACATTTAACATATTGAGGATGTGTGCAGAAAGGGAAGAATTTTACAAATGAAGAGATTATTTCACTAGAATGATTATCCTCCTTTGTCCAGTTCTGTTTCCCAAATCACACATTTCCCTTAGCTACTGGAAATACTGAGGAAGATTGGAAAAAGTTTTGAATGTTCACAAGCCTCTGTGATTAAAATGGAGAGAACGATAATTAGGCCGGATCACAAATCTCTCCTCTTCTCCTGTTCCCATCAATGGTGATTTCACATGAGGTAAGTTATCCAACTAATACACACGGTGGGGAAAAAGGTTTATAATTGTGAATGCACAAAACAGAGTTTATTCTTGTATTATTATTTACTGCATTACATACAAATAACTGTAAATCCTACTTTTGTTATTATGATTCTTTTTAAAAACAAGAAAACATATTGAAGTGAATCTGAGTATTATAATTATACAAGGAAGGATAAAACTAGCCTTACTCTTGGGTTAATTTGTGATTCTCCTCTCTCCCTAACCCTAAAGGCTGTACTTATGTGAAAAAAATTGAATGTGTATTTTTTTCCAAAGGAGTAGAATGTAGTTGGAGGAGTGGGGAAGAAGGGCTGTTTTTCAAGTTTCAAAGACTTCAAAATTACCTTAGGTGATCAAATTGTTTTTAGAAGTTAATAACAAAAAAGGTGGTAAGCACACTCATTCCTTCAACCCTTCCCATGCATTTTCAGACTTATATGTAAATGCGGGTGTATAAATGATGTAGTCATATTTTAAGAGGATTCTGAAAAATCTAGCTCTTGTGTGTTATTATCTGAATATGCAATGTGAATGACAAACCAGAAATTTAAATAAACACTGTGCTTATTTGAATGACATCATCTGTATAGAATCACAATTCAAACTGTGTAATCATGAAAAACACATAAAATGTGTTTATTAAATAAAAATGAATATATTCAGGGTTAAATTTTAGTGTCTTATTTCTAAGTCAAAGCTCCCTCACACATTCAAATTCCTCTTAACAACCATATTTTTTTAAACTTCTTTGAATCAAGAGCAAACATGATAAAGAACAGATCTCAATATATTTTTCCCTCAAGTCAGCAGTTCCCAAAAGGCAGAAATTCAAGTCAGCTGGGATACTAAAGATGACCAACGGCTGGGCTGCCTGGGAGCACCGGCACCCTCTGCGGCCTGCCAGGGGACTCCCAGACCTAAGACTATTCTGCCATCACCTTTCCTCTCATGCGAGTGGTCAGGTGGGGAAGAGGACGGAGACAGGCACATTAAAATCATCTCAGGATCTTTACCAATCCGTACATGCTTTTGTGCCAAGCTAGAGGAGGGAAGGGTGTAAAGTTAAAAAAAAAAAAAAAAAAAAAAAAAGCCCTGCAGAGGTGAGGCCAATAGGCTTGACTTGGACCCCTACACCTGTCTCTGAGAAACACTGAAGGGTACAGGTTTAACACCAGGAGGCCGAGGAGCCAGAGCCATGATGTGCTCTCTGAGATTCTTACTGTATTGCTAGCACGATTATTTTCACTTCACGCCAGCTCTCGCACATTACTCCATCCCTAGACAACACTCTTCCCCTCTAGGCACTTCTGTAATGGTGACTCTCGGAAAAACTATCCCTATCTTCATTCCATTTATGAATTAAAAATAAAACCTAATCAAATCAAGATGGAGTTACTACAGAGTCATAGTGTTAATAACATGTCTGCATCCAGGAAAAGGGAAAAGCTACAGCTGAACAGAAAATATACAAAAGAGCAATTACCTCCTAAACCTTTAATATATCAAGTTTTCTTTAAAATTAAAAAAAAAACAAACCCAACTCTAAATTAAATCTACTTTCCCCAAATAGATTTGGCAAATGTAAAATGAAAAAAGCTATTTTCTTCTATTATCACTATTGTAATAGAACTTTTAATAAAACTTACAAATTAATGTTTTACCCACTTTGTGTACTAAGTATTTTCTGTGACTTGGCCTAAAACCATACAGGTTTTTTTCTCCATGAGAAAATATGATCTGAGTTCAAAATATCCAACATACAAACAAGCTGGGAACCCTTTCCCAATGCAGGCAGCCACCCGCATGGCCCGCACTAACCATTTCTTCCGGTGCAGCAGGAGCTGTAGGTGCGGCGCCCAGAGGAGCAGAAACAGGAAGGTGAGCGGAGGAAGCAGAAGCAGCCCCGGCGGAGGTGACGGAGGCGGCGGAGGGAAAGGCAGCGGTGCTGGTCGCTGCCAGGGCTGCGGCTGATGGGCCCGGTGCTGCCGCCCCTGCTGAGAGCACCGAAGGGGCCGAAGGATCCAAATGAACAGGATGTTCTTTTCCTTGGACACCAGGACCATACTCTTCCTTTTTATTATTTGTGAAGTCTATCCGTATAAATCACAAATTAATTCTATTAAAATTCTTCCAAGTTAAGATTACTTTTACCCCCCAATAATAAAAATACATAATAGCTACAATTTGGTTTTAATGTAAATGTAGAAATATGTCATGGATTAGATATAATGTTCAGTTACTAGTTTGTCAGTAATAACTGGTTAATGTCAGCATAAGCCACTAAAGACTTCAGACCACTTCCTTCAACATGTGAGAGCTAATAGATGACTTGCTCTTACTTAAAAGATAAAAATACATACTCAACTGGTACCTCAGTTGAATAAGGTGTGTTGTCATCACAGCCATTACAATAATAAGGTCTGATGAGCGTGAGGACTTATGCCCTTTTGCATTATTTCATGCAGCTATTCTGATTAATGGCCTGTTATTTAGATCTCTAGAGTAATTTTATATCACCATACCCCTCTCTTTTCCTTCCACTGCTCCTCTCTAACCAAAACAATGCATTTTTATTTTTGATTTTTCAGCAATCAAAAATAAATCAATGCGTAAATTTTGACATTATAAAAGAAGCTCTTGCAGGTAGATAATGTAAGTCAATGAATTAAGAGCATATTTGCACACTGAACTGATTTTAGTGAAACACATGTAGTAGCCTTCTCTCCTTAGATCAAAGGAGTGAATAACATCAGCTTCCAGAAGCTATGGCAAAGGGTACTATTTTAGAGTTTTCCCTCCCAGTATTAGAATTTGGTTAAAATTTCTAAAACTATATCTATGTGATGCCACAGACCAGGGTGAGGGTTTCACAACTCAGTCACTGAGATGTTTCAGACTATCTGAATAGAGTATGTAACCCTGTGGTTAAATAGTTTTGTATGTTGTTCTCTTTCTATCTACAAATTTGGGCTTTTGAATAAGTCCTTTTCTTAGACTAAATTTATATGAAATATGTAAACTTTATTAACAAAGTTTAATGAGGATATAATGCATAGGTCTTTTGAAATCATTTGATGAAAGGAACTAATTCGATATAAAAATACTGCTTTTGCTTTGAAATACACACACACGCGCACACACACACTGAGTTTTAACATGTTTTTGATAGAAAGTGATTCTGACTGTCACTTTTTAGGTGGGTGGCAGACTTTGTATGAGATGTGGGACCAATACACAGGTCAGGCCTGGCCATGGGACTCCCAATGCAGGTGACCAACTCTCACGAATTTGAGTGGGTGTATGCAGTTCCTATTTGCCACATAATTGTAAGTTTTGATAATTATTCTTACTTTAACTGTGATAAATTGAGATGCACTGCAGATGACAGCAGAGAATCAGGGCAAATAAATAAAAATCAAATACTAGTTTTGTTCTAACACGACAGATACATTAGGAACACTGCATTATTAAAAATTGTATTATGCCCTGGCCAGGTGGTTCAGTTGGTTGTCTCATTGTCCCATACACCAAAAGACTGCGGGTTCGATTCCCAGTCAGGGCACATACCTAGGTTGCAGGCTCTATCCCTAGTCGGGGTGCATGAGCCAATGGATCGATGATTCTCTCTCATATCGATCATTGTTTCTCTCTCCACCCCCTTCCTCTCTCACTAAGATCAATAAACATATCCTCAGGTGAGTATTAAAAAAATTTTTTTAAATAAAAAATTGCATTGTAAAAAGCAATTGTCTTAAGGGAAGAAAGAGGTCTAGATGTAATTTTTTTCCTGTGAGAATAGCTGTCAAAATGCCACAAAAGCTAAACATCACAGAGCAAATCCAGCATTAGATTATGAAGGGGGACCCAAACACCCCGCAGAATTTATTTTTAAAAATTGCGTATTTATTCTTACATGTCACCTTCAAAGTACTCTCCATTTGATGAAATACACCTATTAAGACTTTTTTCCACAGCTCAAAAGTTTTTAAACTCATCAGTTTTGATGCCTTTTAGTGCTTCTGTTTTTTTGTTTTACCTCTCCTATGTCAGCAAAACATTTCCCTTTGAGCACTTTTTTTTTCATCCAGGAAAACACAAAAAAAAGTCTCTAGGGTGAGATCAGGTGAATAGGGAGGATAGGATACGGCAGTCATGCTGTTTTTGGTCAAAAACTGCTGAACACTCAGCGTAGTGTGGACAGATGCACTCATAAATCATCCATCATGAAATGGCAGGCATGTTGAAAGAGTCTTCAAAAAAATTCACTAAAGCCAAACACAGCCTCTCACAACAACAGCAGCTGGTACACTGATACAGATGGGTTCCTAGAACATTCACCTACCTGGAGAAGCCTGTACTACAAGGGGCCCACTCTCCGGAAGATAATTCCAGGTTGGTTTGTTGTTTTTTTTTTTTTGGTTCCCTCCTCATACATTGAACTTTTGCCTTTGGTAGCTCCATTTAAAAGACCATTTATTAGAGAAATCAAGCACACCTTGGGGTATCAGCAAGATAAACTACTTAGCCTTGAAATCTATAATTCTAAGTTTCTGACTTACATATGGGCCACAGAGTCAAACTGTTTCAGAGAGAAAACAATTTGCCATAACCCACTGCCACCCACGACATGAACCATTTGAATAATAAAAGTTTGCTGATGGATAAAAACGAGGCACAACAAGCACAGAGGAGTATTCGCTGGAACAGAATCATGTTAATGCTGTTACAAAATGAAATTATTTCACTGATAAGTTAAAGCGTGAGTCTCAAATAAGATTTATTATAATGCTGCAAAAATGTTCATGTATTTGCATGAGACATGGGAGGCCTACTTGAATGAATGAAGACTACAATAATCACAAAAGGACTATCATGCTTACATGCTGAAGTATTTTTTGTCTTTTAAAGTGTTTTCAAGTATATTTCACTGCATTCCCACAAGAACCCCCTATTAAACAGATAAAAAAGTTTAAATTATCTTCTTTACTCAGAGAAGAAAACTAAAACCCGATAAGGAAAATAGGCCTCATTGTAAATTGGTGGCAAAGGATTCTTGTCATGTGTTCTTCCAACCCATGCTGATGAAACTGACACAAACAACTCAAAGCCGAGCCAGTATATGGGCTTTTCTTGAAATAAAATTACTATTACTTTTTTTACTTCTATAGACAGTCCTGTATTTGTAACTGTTGAAAATGAGTTTTAGTTGAGGTTTCTCTTACACTGGAAAACAAGCAAATTTAAAAACAGGAAACCATGACTAGATAAGAAATATTTAATCAACAAACAGTCCAAGGAATTTGTCTACTTAGGAAAAAACAATAGAACTTAAATTTGAACTTAAAGGCATTACAATTATTAAAGAGCCTTGAAGATGTACATTCAAAGAATTATTGTAACATTGAGCCGAAATACTTAAGAGTTGACAGTTGACTCGGTCGGATCTAAGCTACCATAAGTAACCCTGAGGGAGTGAATTTTCATGGCCTTTAAAACTGAATACGGGATGACACTACGAAGCTCAAAGGACAGTGCCTGGTGAGACAGAGCTGTTGCAGGAAATTAGCACTGTAGCCCACACCCAGCACTGAAATTCAAGTCCTTTTTGAAAGTAGGCAGAGAATCATAAGTAAAACACTAACCTGTGTCATTTCTGTTTTGAAATATTGTCATGGCTTCAAGATTTAATGCACAGACTCCCCGCATGAAAGCTTTCTTCATGGAATCTTCAAAGTGCTCTTTCTCTTGCTGCATTCTTTGGATTTCAGTTTTTGCATTTTCCAAAGCCCCAGATAACTAAATTAAGGAAAATTAAAAAAAAAGAAAAAGAACAACATCATGATACATGGAATATTACTTATTGTTCGAAAATGAACTTACACTGTGAGGTTATTTTTAGGTGAAATACTGAACAGTTTCCCACACACCTCTTCTGCTGTGTGTCTCAATTTACTTTGTCTCTGTCAACAAACCATTTTCATTTTTATCCACAGAGTCAAAGTTCAAACAAGGGGAATTTTATACCAGTCCCACTGAAGGTTACTAATGTGTTTTAATTATACAAAAAGATATGTCATTTCTTACTATAAATCTTTTATGTAGGATGTTAAACAAAATATATTAGGGGCCACAGACAGCCCTCACCACTTTAGAAAAAAATAACTAAATCCTTGCAATATTAACAGAGTATGTATGTATGTATGTATGTATGTATTTATCTTAGCCTCGCATAGGTTAATTTTAGTGTAAAATACTCTTTTCCTTGGGACAAGTGTGGATTTGCTTATAGGGGCTCCCCCTTGTCATGGCTCAAAGAGATCGCAGAGTATACTTGTGTCTCTGGCAGCATCAAATCACGGACAATGTAATGCTATGTGCAAAAACTCTGGTCTGTGACTCATATTAACAGAGTTTTTAAAAACTAAATGTTACTATAGAGTTTAAAGGGCAAAGTGATATTAGTTACAACACTTTCCCATAGACCAAATCTAAGGGGGCTCCATTTTTTGCATGTCATTTTCAACTGCAGAAAATTACCTATATTGTGACACTGATTTTTACCATTAAAAACTCAATACTATAATGAAGAATTTTTTTTTCCTTTTAGTATTTGATTTCAAGAGGCGTACTGCATTTTTCAGTATGGTTTTTATTTCATTTTGAATTTCAAATGTTTTCCCATGGAAACAATGTTAATTTTATTATTAAAAGTCAATGGGAAAATAATTCCAATTTATCTACAGCTGCTTTAAATCAACCTTATATGAACAATGTTTATTTAAATTAACAAGAGGATAAACATTTTTGGTTTTGATCTCTATTCTTGGCTAAATAAAAACCCAAAGAAGAAGCATAAGAAAGGATACTTCCTTAAAGATGTATGGGTAATTTACATTTTTGAGAGACAGGTACACATATGTATACGCAAGAAATCCAACACAAGTTTGGAGGCCATAAGAATTATAACTTTTGAAAGTATAAATAAGTCTGTAAGTCTGACTTATTAGTGTTGTTCTTTCCCAAACAGTCAAGTAGTCTTATCTGAAGATATGGGTCACTCTGCCTAACTATAGACTCTCTGAGTGATGCTACCTATCTTTTAATTCTATTAAGGGAAAGTGAAAATTAAAAAAAAGAAGAAGTTGTTTTACCATAGCAACTTTGGCTTCATAATCATTGGAAATCTGGACACAAACTTCTTCAGCTCTTGCTTGACAAGCTCGCTCCACCACATCTTTCCACTTCTTCTGCACCGTGGAACGCCAGGCTTTCCAGACCTTCTTCAGCAAAGTTCTCTGGAAGTGCTGGTCAGCTAGTTGGCCTTCATAAACCTAAATTAAAGTAATATAACCTTAAAGCACAGTGTGCCGGAAAATATATTGGCAGTAATAATAAGAACAGTAACAGCATGGGAAGCATTGTACATACATTATCATTCAATCCTGTGTAATTATTCTTATCTGCAGATAGGAGAACAGGCTTAGAGAAGTTAACTAATCTGCCCAGGTTGCAGAGTAGACGGGAAAAGCTGTCCTTGCCTTATCCCAGAGCCTACACTCTTCCTTATCCATTACATAATTTTAAGTAACTAATCAAGTGAGGAAAAAAACAAAAACAACAAACTAATGAAAGAAAATGAGTAACTTGCCACTTGCCATCTTAGTTCTGAGTTCCCATGCCTTTTAGCTGAAAGCAGGACTAGGAGGACAACAGAGTGGCTGGAAGGCAGGAAGTGGACTGCGGCTTCAGATGGCACTGATTTCTCTTCGGTTTAGTGGCCACAACCATAACCAAGGTCGATTTAATTTACATACTCTGCATCAGACATAGTGCCAAACTGATCCAAACAGGAATATATGCTATTCTTTTTATCAATGAATTTAAATTGTTTTGAAGAAGTAGTTCCAATTTTCATTTTTTTTTTACATTTGAAGAACTATCAAAAGGTGATGGCAGCCTCAACTATTTCAGCTAACATTTAAACATAATATATTCTCATTATGTAACCTGATGAATGACTTTCAAAATATGGTATAAATACTCATTTTAAATAGCCCTTTTCAGCCTGATTAAAATAAATTTAATCTATTGCAATTAATAAAAAAAAATGCACTAGGAAGTAGGCTTAAAGGAGAAATCATATTCTAAAATAGTAACACCTTTTCCTTAAATATTAATCTCTTAGAACTAAATGACCTTGATGGCTCACATGAGCACAGCATGAAAGAATATAAATATATATATTTATATTCTACACTGTTGAGCCTTTATACTCTTCTTATAGGTTATATACATACTCATATTTCCTATTTTTTTAATTTTTAAAAATTTATTATCCCATTACAGCTGTCCCCATTTTTTCCTCTTTGCCATCTTCCACCCAGCATGCCCCACTCCCTCAGGCACTCCCCCCACCATTGTTCATGTGCATGGGTCATGGGTTTAAGTTTTTTGGCTACTCCATTTCCTATACTGTACTATATACATCCCCATCACTATTCTGTAACTACCTATTTGTATTTCTTAATCCCCCCACCTCTTTACCCATCCCTCCACACTGCCCTCCTATCTGACAACCCTCAAAGTGCTCTCTGTATCCAAGAGTCTATCTGTTTTTGTTTGCTTAGCTTGTTTTTTAGATTCAATTGTTGACAGATTTGTATTTTTTGCCATTTTATTTTTCCTAGTTTTGATCTTTTTTAAAAATAATTCCGTTTAACTTTTCATATAATAATGGTTTGGTGATGATGAACTACTTTAGTTTTTTCTTGTCTGGGACCTCTTTATCCGCCTTTACATTCTACATGATATCTTTGCTGGGTAGAGCAATCTTAGCTGTAGGTCCCTGCTTTTCATGACTTTCAGTATTTCTTGCCAATCCCTTCTGGCCTGCAAAGTTTCTTTTGAGAAATCAGCCAACAGTCTTAGTGGAACTCCCCTGTAGGTAACTAACTGCTTTTCTCTTGCTGCTTTTAATATTCTCTCTTTATCTTTAACCTTTGGTATTTTAATTCTGATGTGTCTTGGAGTGGGACTCTTTGCATCCACCTTGTTTGGGACTCTGCACTTCCTGGACTTACATGTCTATTTCCCTCACCAAATTAGGTAAGTTTTCTTTTATTACTTTTTCAAATTGATTTCCAATTTCTTGCTCTTCCTCTTCTCCTACTGGAAACCCTAAGATACAAAAGTTGGAATGCTTAAAGTTGTCCCAGAGGCTGCTTATACACTATCTTGTTTTCTGGATTCTTTTTTTCTTGTCCTTGTTTGGTTGTTTCTTTGCTTATGTTCCAACCATTGATTTGATTCTTGGCTTTATCTACTCTACTGCTGTTTCCCTGTAAATTGTTTTCTATTTCAATTAGTGTATCCTTCATGTCTGACTGGATCTTTTTTATGCTCCTGAGGTCCTTACTACATTCCTTGGGCATCCTTATAACTAGTGGTTTGAACTCTGCATCTGACAGATTGCTTATCTCCATTGTGTTTAGTTCTTTTCCTGGAGTTTTGATCGTTCTTTCTTTCATTTGGGTTACGTTTCTTTGTCTCCTCTTTTTGAAGCCTCCCTGTGTTTGTTTTTATGTATTAGGTAGAACTGCTATGACTCCCTGCCTGGGGCCACTTAGCCAGGGGTATGGGGGCTGGGGACAAACTGAGGCCTGCTGTTGCTATTTGATAGGATTTAGGAAGTTGTGAAGCATGACCAGTTATTCATATGGAAAAGCCACTGCTAACAGCTGTAAGCTGGACGGGACAGAGCCTCAGGGGATCTCTAGGGCAGGGCAAACAGTGTTAGCGAGGTTGATGGAGTCTCAAATATGACACCCACCTGCTGGCTCTATGGCTCTGTGGGTAGAGGGTTCAGATAAGGGACAATGGTCTCTGCCCACTTCCTGCTTTGGAGAAAGCTGTCCCCCAGCTCCCTACCTTGATGCCAGATACCTCAGTTCCTCCCTTAATAACACTGGTGCCTTTCAAGCTGCGACCCTGGTGCTGGAGCTCAGAGGGAGTGAGTCTGAGTAAGTCCCTATGTGGGATCTTTAAGGGGAATTGCTTGGGACTCCAGTGTTCTTCCATCAACTCAATGCCCCCTGGGTTTTGCATCTAGAAGTTATGGGGACTTATCTTCCTGGGACTGGAACCCTGGGCCTGGGGACATGGTGTGGGGCTGCAACTCCTCGATCCCAAGATATCCTTCCCAAATTTTTATCCACCACACACGGAAGTGGGACCAGCCTGTTCCACATCTGTGCCCCTCATACTAGTCTGGATGGATGTGGTTTCTTTAATTCTGCAGGTGTCAGACTTCCATTCAGCTTAATTTCTGATGGTTCTGAGTGATGGTTGTTTTATATTTTAGTTGTAATTTTGATGTGGTTGTTCAAGGAGGTGAGCCATGTTTACCTATGCTACCACCTTGACTAGAATTCCGTACTCACACTTTTTCACTTTGACACAATAAATTATTATTCTGTCTCAGTTTATATTTACTCTGATATATTAATTCAGCTCTTAATTAAAATGAACAATGTTCAAATTTAAATTATATATTATCTAAGTATAATAATTAAGAAAGACACGGCTTTCTTTAATCTTACTGAAGGCAAGTCTATACAACAAACATTTATACAATTTTATGATGTATGAACACAGTATTGCCTCTTTTTGAGGAGAATTTCAGAAGTAGGCATTTTAGAAGTAGAAACAATATAGGAAGCATATGATATGTTAAAGATTTTAAATTCTTTCTCCACACAATCACATCTGACTTAAATCTGTTAAAGGGGTTCCATTACCAGCGTATTTGTAATTTAAGTATAATTCTTACTGACCTATTATAAAGTAGGAAATGATATATCAATAGATCTATACAATATGAGCTATTTTTTCCCCAAACTATAATGAATCAATTTCCTTTAAAATCAGAGCAACATTAAGTTGTAAATTCATTTTGACTTATTAGAAAATAACACCTTCTTTGACTTTTTTCTAATACTTTTGCCTAAACACTTTTGAGTTCAGAAGTCTAATATTTGTCAGTCTTTTCATTTTTTTACTTACATCCTGTCTGGATTTGACATGGCCAATTCGCCAGTGGAAGAATGTTCTCATCAACTCTATCCTTTCCTTTTGCTTGCCTATGGCATGAGTCAAGCTGGAAATCACCTGGGAAGAGCAGTTAAACCAATTATTCTGATGCCATAATAACAGCAACTGGTAAAGTGATTTTTCTCATATATTAAAAAATGCTAAAGAATACCTATGGATCACTACTATATTCACCCAGTTAACACCATTATTATCTTTAAAAAGACCAAATCTTCCCAGTGAATGAAGGGAAACAAAAGAGCAATCTCATGTGTATCTTAATAACCAAAAAAAATGTTATATATACATGAAAATAATAATGAAAAAATACAATAAAAAATAAAAACAAGCTTAAACTAAAATAAGGAAAAAAGAAAATTAATACAGTGTGGGGCAATAGTAGTTTTACAGTTCATATGGAAAATAATAACAATAATTAAAAATAATACAAGAATAAACTCTGTGTTTCATGTACTTACAATTGTAAATATACTTTTGCCCACCCCGTATGGTCACTAATATTTAATTTTAGAAAAACAACCATACATTGAAAGTTTTGCTTCATACACCGAAAGTCTTTCCTGACTAGAATCGAAGGCAGAGACCAGATTTTAAATATCTTTCTAGTACCTAAATACCTTTAGTACCTCGGATAAGATGTTTCTAAACTGTTTAATGATTTTCTTCTGGATTCAATAAACTCATAAAAGCAATTAATTGTTATACTTTGATGTACTTCTTCAGTGATACTATTCTTGTTCTTTTTTAAAAAAGCTATGGAGGCTTTTAAATCCTAAGATAATACTCTCTCTTATAAAGAACTGAGTAACTGAAATATACATGGTCCGGCACAAGTAATGCCCCATTTTTATTACAAAATCATAAGCACTCCGTAACATAACAATATCACACTCAAGCACACCATATGACATTTTAAGTGAAATGTTCAAATTGCTGTCCATCTTGTGCAAGATATGCACGTACCCTACCAACCTCACCCAAGCAAGACTTACTTCTGCCAGATCCTGTATATCTAAAAGAAGGCCACATTAAAAAGAGATTTTGTAAACTGGGCACATTTACTGAGACATTTATTCTGGTTCTTTAAATAATTTTCTTTTCTTTTTTTTTTTACTGTTATTCTATTACAGTTGTCCCAATTTTTCCCCTTTGCCCTCCTCCGCCCATCCCACCCCCCGCTCCCACAGTCAGTCCTCACCCTGTTGTCCATGGGTCATACCTACATGTTCTTTGGCTAGTCCCTTCCCCTTCTTTCTACCATTATCTCGCCATGCCTTCCCCTCTTGTCACTGTCAGTCTGTTTCATGTTTCCATGACTGTGGCTCTATTTTGTTAGTTTATTTTGTTCATTAGTTTCCTCTTATAGGTGAGATCATATAGTATTTGTCTTTCACCAACTGGCTTATTTCACTTAGCATAAATGCTCTCCAGTTCCATCCATGCTGTCACAAAAGGTAGGAGTTCCTTCTTTCTTTCTGCTGCATAGTATTCCATTGTGTAAATTTTCAAAAGTGGAAAAGGGCACACATTCTAAGATATTGTTAATATTCTCTTTCTTAAGCTGTGTGTTGGCACATGGCTATTTACTTCATTTGTCTTTAAAAATTCGACATTATATGTACATATATATGTACAAGTCTTTTTATGTGTGATACTTTAAAAAAATTTAAACTTAAAATATTTAAAAACCTTAGGATAGAGTTTTGAGGGTAATAGTGAAAATGACTGACATTAACATCTATTGTTTCAGACAAGTAAAATATAAAAAGTACAATTCTATATTACACCTTGCAATACCAAAAGAAATGTATGGTTTAAAAAAACACACACACACACCATAATCTTTATCTAGTTAATTAAAATAGTGAGTGCTGCATCTGCAGACTAGCAGCTGAGGCGTTTGCTGTGAGTCCCTCTTCTCTGGAAGCCACCATGCCCCTGGGGGCAGCCACAGATGGTTGCCCCGCTGCTTTGTTCAAGGTGCTGTCTGGAGGCACACAATTAGCACACACCTGAACCTTACTCTCAGGCTCTTACCAGCCTAACAGAAAGTGAAATAAAAGGTGCTGTTTATTGCCCCGACTGGTGTGGTTCAATTGGCTGGAGCGCTGTTCCGTAACCAAGAGGTTGCGGGTTTGATTTCCAGTTGGGGCACATACCTAGGTTGCGGGTCTGATCCCCAGTCCGGGTGCATCAGGGAGGCAACCAATTGATGTTTCTCTCCCTTCCTTTCTCTCTAAAAGCAATGAAAAAAAAATTGTCCTTGGGTGAGGATTAAAAAAAAAAGTGCTATTTATCAATAAAAAAAGAAAAGATTTCATCTGTGAATAAAGACATATCACAGATAGAAATGACCCCAAAAAAGATACTTAAAATGACTCCAAAAAAGGATGGTTTAAAATGTGGATAATGCTCGTTCCCTAAAGTTCTCTTAAGGGCAGTCTGGAAGAAAAAATTAGTGTTCCCACATTTAGCATGCACCCTTAAAACTTTAAGCACACTGAAGTTGATTTCAAAGATAATAAAGTGGCGTGACCATGGCATATTTAATAGGAAGAATAAATCATACATCTATGTACCTATTTTTCTACCAGTTTCTGAAGTGATCTTTCCTTGTATCTTGCATGACCTAAAAAATCACTTCCTGGCATTTATTATTTAGCAAGACATTTACTAAATCTTAGTTAAAAAGAAATACAAAAAAGAACACCTCATCTTTTCTCCCAATAGAGATTTCATAGGCTTTTTGCAGCTCCTTCAAGCTGTTGATCTGGTTGCACAGTTGTTTTAAATGTGCTGCATGTTTTTCTTTCTCTTTTTTCATTTCCATACGATGCCAGTCAATAAAATTTAGTCTCCACTTAGTTAGTTCAGATATGACGTTTGTCTGAAAAGTAAATATATCAATAACTAAGCAGTTTTTTCCTTGATAGTGCTTCTAAAATTACACTGAAATTTAGAAACATTCTGAAAAAATCAGAACAAGCAATCAATGTGAGAGCTAGTTTTAAAAAAAATCACCAGATAAAATGTTTACAATTTCAACAATTACAGCTCCTCTTAGGTCACATTCCCTATAGTAAGGATCTGAATTTTTTCCTATTTAAAGTTACTATGTATGAAATCTTGTGGTTAAACAACATTTCAGGTCTCAGTCACTAATAAACAGGTTCTTTGTTTACTGAAGGACTTAAATATCCATATTAAGACAGGCAGGAAAAAAGAAAGGCAGGGACTGTGCCCTAGCCTGAGCCCCAGGACCGGGAAGTTACCCAGGAGGGGTGGGCAGTGGGAACCATGGGAGCTGATGCTTTCTTCCCCCAAATCATTTATCACGACGGCCGCTTAAAAAAAAATTTGATAAGTCTGATCCATTTTCACCCTACTGACTGGCCTAAGTAAAAACACCAAATAATCATGTTATCAAAAATTAGATAACACTATGGTTAACTGAACAGAGAACAATTTAAATGGTTGGTGGTACATAATTTCAGTTGACTTATACCACGATTAGAAGTATGAAACCTCTTCCCTTGGGGAAAATGGTAGAAACTATACTAAAAGATTATATCTGGAATTTATAGTTCAAATAACAGAGAAATATAGATGCCACAGAACTATCATGACCATTATTTATCCATGCATGTGAATACTCAGCTGTATTTTCTCAAACTGTTTCAGAAAAATGATTATTTTCTCAATTATATTTTAAGTAGCAAAAGAAACCCCTGCCATTTCTGTAATTCTTTGTTTTACTTAAAGGCCACTAACATCACCAAAACAAAAATCAATTTTTATAGATACATCAGTTATACATTGTGGTGCTATAAGAGTGGCTATAAAATGAATATGTGTTGCTAAAATTGGATTTTGTAAAAAAAATAAAATAAAATTGGATTCTGTGTTTCATATAAAAGGGGACATTTCCTTTAGCCATAGCTATGATATAGTACAGGTTCAATAAATGTCTCAGTCACACACATGCTGCCTTTCAAAAACTCTGAGAAATTCAGTAGAATGTTCAAAGCTGTTCCACAACTATTTAAAACTATACTATTCGAAGTATGTTTTCTGAACCAGCAGCATCACCTGGGAGCTTGTTAGAAATGCATCTCAGGCCTTCGCCAAGACTAAGAAACTGCAGTTCAAAAGCATTCCCAGGTGATTCATATGGACATTAAAGACTGAGAAGCACAGATGTAAGACATTGGGCTGATCTTATAAAACTAAAGATAAAAAACAAACAAACAAAAAAACCCTACAGTATCTTTTAATTCAAAGAAAAGAAAAACAGTGGAATTAAGAGTAAAACTGTTATACTAATTCAATAACAATACCTTAAGGCCTGAACTCCAAACATCCAGTACATTTTCCACCTTCTGAAGGTTTTCATCAGAAACGAGAAAATCACCCACAACTATTTCATGAACACCTGCATGACTGGAATTAGACCCTGCTGAGGAAGAGTCACCTAAAATATTCGAACTGAAAAAATCCATGACGGGGTATGAAGGCTTCCTTGGTGATGACACTGGTGACAACCCTAGAATTAAAAAAAAATTTTAACGGTCAAAGCAAATTGAAAACAACCCAAATTGGTCAAGACTTACATTGGGAGTTACAACAGAGGCTGAGGACAATGCAGAGAAATGACCTTTTAGTGTACTTAATCTGGCCATTAAAAGAATTTAAAAAAATTTATTTTATTTTATTTTATAGAGAGGGGGAAGGGAGAAAAGAGAGGGAGAGAAACATCAACGTGAGAAAGAAACACCAATTGGTTGCCTCCTGCCTTCTGCAAGGACCCTGATGGGGGCAGAGCACAGAGCCCGCAACCCAGGCATATGGCCTGACTGGGAATTGAACCAGCAACCTTTAGGTTTGCAGGATGATGCCCAACCAACTGAGCCACACTGGCCAGGGATAATCTGGCTATTTTTAAGTTCAGTATTATCGTCGATTTAGGACTAACCAGCATAAGATGCTTCCTATTACTCAAATAAGGATGCTTTATATGATGGAAAACCCCCAGAAAACACCCTAGAATTATTTTCTGGGGGGCAGACCCTTTGTAGCACAGGCTTTCCCTGCTAGGTCAGCATTCTAGGAACCCATCTGTATCAGTGTACCAGCTGATGTTATTGTGAGAGGCTGCATTCAGCTTCAGTAAGTTGTTTTTGAAAACTCAATGCATTTGCCCGTTTTGTGATGGGTGATTTATGAGCACACCTGTCCACACCACACTAAGTGTTCAGCAGTTTTTGACCAAAAATGGCATGGCCCCTGTGCCCCACCCTCCCTATTCAACCAATATTGCCCTGAGCAATATTTTGTGTCCCTGGATGAAAAAAAGTCCTCAAAGAGTAACGTTTTGCTGATGTGGAAAAGGTGAAACAAAAAATGACAGAAGCCCTGAAAGGCATCAAAATTGACATGTTCAAAAACTGTTTTGAGCAGTGGGAAAAATGCCTCGATAGGTGTATTGCATCAAATGGAGAGTATTCTGATGGTGACTGAAGTTTAAAAATGTAACAATAAATACAAAACACAGCACTTTATAAATAAATTCTGGGTTTTTGGGTCCCCCCTCGTATACCCTGGCCTAGGCTGAGCTGACGCTATTACCACCTGCGCCATCACATCGACATTTTCAGAGCACTCTGTATGTTTCTGTAATACAAATGTTACAGGGGTTAGCTCTCATAATACATGCTGCCCTAAGAAAAGGGTCTTACCTCCATTTTACTGATGAAGAAACTGAGATTCAGAAAGGGTTAAATAACTGACCAAGGTCAGAGTGGTTGTATACAGGTCATTATTACTTCATGTAAAACACTGGGATGGGTTTTAACACTACTAAAATTCAACACTATAAAAAGAAAAGAGACTAGTAATGACCTATCAGATACTCAACTGTAAGGCACTCTTTTTGTCTTCAACACATAGATAATAAATTCTCTCTCTCTCTCTTCCATTTCCTGCCCATAAACATGGGGGGTGTGGGAGGGGAGTGAGAGCCAGAGCCAGAAAGAGAGCTGGTATCTATCTTTAAACAGTAAAAAATAGACAAGTTACTGTTTCATCACACATGTATGTTAGAATTAGAGACTATTCACCATCATCTCTCACATATCACACTTTTGTTATGAGGTGCCTACAACCAAGACTGAAGGGCTTTTCTCTTGTCCTTACAAAATGATTCAAACAAAGATAAATTTACTATAGAACTTGTTACTTAAAAGAAAATCTTTCAAGAATTTTTTTTTTGCAAAAGGGAAAACCATTACCTAATATATGCTTTGCATAAAAAAATACATCAACAGATGATTCAAGCTCGTCACACTAAGAAACACCACCTAGGCACTTCCAGTCAAGATGGCTGCAAATGTAAACATGGGTTGCCTTCTTGCACAACCATACCAAAATTAAAATTAAAATAGAGAAATAGGTGCAGCCACTGTGGAAAGCAGTGTGGAATTTCCTCAGAAAGCTGAAAATGGAACTGCCTTTTAATCCAGTGATTCCCCTGCTGGGACTATACCCTAAGAACACCAAAACGCCAATACAAAAGAACCTATGCACTCCAATGTTCATAGCAGCACAATTTACAATAGCCAAGTGTTGGAAGCAACCTAAATGCCCATCAGTAGATGATTGGATCAAAAAGTTATGGTACATTTACACAATGGAATACTACGCAGCAGAAAGAAAAAAAGAACTACTAAACTTCGCGACAGCATGGATGGAACTGGAGAGCATTATGCTAAGCGAAATAAGCCAGGGGGCGAAAGACAAATACCACATGATCTCACCTATAAGTGGAACCTAACCAACAATACAAAGATGCAAGGAAAATAAGACGAGCAACACTGAAAGGAAAAGAAATCAACAGAGACAAGAGGGAAGGAGGGAGGGGAGGCAGGGAAAAGGAAGGGAAGGGGAAAGTCAAGGAACATATAGCAAGGACTCATGGACAAAACCAAAGGGGAAGAGCTGAGGGAGGGAAGGAGGGAGGGGGCAAGGGAAAGTGGTGGGGGGGAGGCAGAGACAAATGTATTTGAAAAAATAAGTTAAATTAAAATTAAAAAAATAAAATAAAATATAGAAATAGAAAAACCATCACTCAAAATCATCTGAAAATCGAACTATGTGAAAGTCAGATAACCAAGGAGTTAAAGAGGCCAAATTCACCCAAGGTTAGGAGGGGAGGAGACAGGGAGTTGGGGTGGAGAGGACAGAGTGTAGCTAGGAGTGGCAGTGGCAGAATGGGTGGCCCCACGTTCACGTGTGATGGATAAAAATCAGGATGGATACCTCAGGAGTGAGCGATCCCAGCCCCACGCCAGACCACATAACCCAGAGTTCCAGTGCTGGGAAGGTTAAGCCTTAAAACTTCTGGCTGTAAAAACCAATGGGGGTTGGTACAGTGGAAGAAACTGCTGGTTTCTCAGATGAATCTGTTTAAAGGGCCCACGTAAGCTTAGAATGCATGCAAACCTACCTACTCTGGGAATCACCATGAGGGTGCCAGCTAGAAGGGTGCCAGTCACATACAGGAAATGGGTGAAGTGACTGGAAATGGGGAGAGAGCTGGGGAAGTCTCCAGAAGCCAGGCAGCAGCACTGTCCCCTCTGATCTGTTCCCCCCTGAAACACAGCCAGAAAGGGCTGAACAGGGTTTCCCTGCCCTGCCAAATGCCTAAAGTTTTGCGCCATACAACTTAACAGGTGCTCTAAGACAGGGAGTCAAAGCAGCTCTACCTAATACACTGAAATAAACACAAGGAGGCTGCCAAATTGAGGAAACAAAGAAATAATAGCCCAAATGAAAGAACAAACAAAACCCCAGAAAAAGAACTAAATGAAATGGAGATAGTCAGCCTATCAGAGTTCAAAACACTGGTGATCAGGATGTTCAGAGAACTCATTGAGTACAGCAAAATCATAAGGGAAGAAATGAAAACTACACTAAGTGAAATAAAGAAAAATCCACAGGGAACCAACAGGGAAGGGAAGGAAGCCAGGATTCAAATCAATGATTTAGAAGGAAGATTATCATTTAGAATGATTAGGAAGAAACCAGAATTCAACCAAAACAGCAAGAAGAAACAAGAATTAAAAAAAAACACACACACAAAAAACGAGAATAGTATAAGAAGCCTCCGGGACATCTCCAGCAGTGCCAACATCTGATTCATAGGGATGTGAGAAGGAGAAGAGGAAGAGCAAGAAATTGAACATTTATTTGAAAAAATAATTAAAGAAACTTCCCTTATTTGGTGAAGGAAATAGATGTACAAGTCCAGGAAGCACAGAGAGTCCCAAACAAGTTGACCACACCAGAACATATTATAATTAATTAAAATGCCAAAGGTTAAAGATAAAGAGAGAATCTTAAAAGCATCAAGAGAAAAGAAGTTAGTTACATACTACAGAAGAGTTCCCATAAGGATGTCAGCTGATTTCTCAAAAGAAACTGTGCAGGCCAGAAGGGACTGGCAAGAAGTGTTCCAAATGATGAAAAGCAAGGACCTACAACCATGATGACTCTATCCAGCAAGGCTGTCATTTAGAATAGAAGGGCAGATAAAGTGCTTCTCAGACAAAAAAGCTAAAAGCTAAAGGAGTTCATCATCACCAAGCCCCTATTATATGAAACGTTAAAGGGACTTATGTAAGAAAAAGAAGATCAAAACTATAAACATTAAAATGACAACTCACAACTATCAACAACTGAATCTAAAAAGCAGAAACAAATTAAGCAAACAACTAGAACAGGAACAGAATCATAGTTATGGAGATCATTGGAGGGTTATCAGTGGGGAGGGGCAAAGGGGTAGATTGAGGAAAAGGTACAGGGATTAAGAAGCATAATAGGAAGGTACAAAATAGGGTAATATTAAGAATAGTATAGGAAATGGAGATATGCATGCTCCATGGACATGAACTGGGGGGGGGGGAGGGGATTACTGAATGGGAGGGGGTCCTGAGTGGAGGGGGGGCAAAGGGGGAAAATTGGGACAACTGTAATAGCATAATAAATAAAATATACTTACAAATTTAAAAAACACCCAAAAAACTAAAAACAAAAACAAAACAAACAAAGGACCATAGAAATCAAGTTGAATGGAAGTCTGACACTATGGAATTAAAGAAATCACATCCATCCAGACTGGTAGGAGGGACACAGATGCAGAACGGTCTGGTCCCATATCTGTGTTTGGTGGATATAAATTCAGGATGTGTATCTCTGGAGTTAGGAGTTGCAGGCCTACACTATGTCCCCAAGCTTAGGGTTCCAGTTCCAGGAAGAGAAGTCCCTATAATTTCTGGATGCAAAAACTAGGAGAGTTTGAGTTGGTGGAAGAAAACTTCTGGAGTCCCAAGCAGTTTCCCTTAAAGTTCCCACACAAGAACTTACTTAGACTCACTCCTGCTGAGCTCCAGCACCGGACAGCAGCTTGAAAGGCACCAGTGGCATAAAGGGTGGAACTGAGGTATCTGGCATCAAGGTGGGAGTTGGGGGACAGCTTTCTCCCAGACAGAAGCCAGAAGCCACTGTCCCTTCTTTGAACTCCCCCCTACAGAGCCACAGAGCTGGCAGGTGGGTGCCACATCTGAGACTCCACCAACCTGGCTAACACAATTTGCCCCTCCCTGGAGATTCCCTGAGCCTCCATCCCACCCAACTTACAGGCCCATTCAAACTGTTAACCATGACTTTTCCATATGAATGGCTGGTCTTGGTCAATGCTTCACAACTTTCTAAATCCTATCAAACAAGCAACAGCTGACCTCAGTATGTCCCCAGCCCCCAAACCTCTTGCTAAATGGTCTCTGGCCTGGTAGTAGCTGCAGCCAGCCAAGACTCACAACTTGACTTTGCCTGGGAACCTCCAAGCCCAGCACAAATAGCAGCCATCTCAGATTGCTTTATAGGTCATGCAGGGCAGCACCGGGCAGAACACAGGTGGGGACTGACCTTGGCATGTACCACCTAGGAAACCCAAGAGCCTGTGCACCCAGTGGATGGCTACAGATCATGTTGGGGCACCACCACCCCATCCCTGCAAAACAGTCCTTCAGAGAGGGCACAGGTTGGTGGTCAGTGCTCACAGCCAGTCCTTGCAGCTGACTGGCTTGAGTAAATCCCTCCCAATAACCTGCCAGAAGCAATCAAGGCTCAATTACAAGAGGAGGGTGTACTCAGCCCACACGAAGGGCAAACCTCGAGTATCCAGCTTGGGTGATAGGGAGGCCATGCCACTGGACCCTACAGAGTATCTACTCATTAGGCCGCACTACCAAGACACGGAGTTAAAGCAGCTTTACCTAATACAGAGGAACAAACAGAGGGATGCTGTCAAAATGAGGAGACGAAGAAACATGACCCAAATGAAAGAACAGAGCAAAACTCCAGAAAAAGAACTAAACAACAATTTGTCAGATGCAGAGTTCAAACCACTGGTTAAAAGGATGCTCAAGGAAGTTAGTGAGAACCTCAGCAGCATAAAACTGATTCAGTCAGAAACAAAGGATATGCTAATAGAAATAAAAAACAAATTACAGGGAAGCAACAGTAAAGTGGATGAGGCTGAGAATCAAATCAATGATTGGAACATAAGGAAGCAAAAAATAACCAATCAAGAACAAGAAGAAAAAAGAATCCAAAAAAAACAAAACAAAACGAGGATAGTGTGTAAGCAGCCTCTGGAACAACTTCAAGCATTCCAAATTTTGCTTCATAGAGGTGCCGGTAGAAGACGAAGAGCAAAAAATTGGAAATCTATTTGAAAAAATAATAAAAGAAAACTTCTCTAATTTAGTGAAGGATATAGACACGGAAGTCCAGGAAACACAGAGAGTCTCAAATAAATGGATGCAAAGAGGCCTACTCCAAGACACATGAGAATTAAAATAAAGCAGCAAGAGAAAAGCAGTTAGTTACCTACGGGGGAGTTCCACTAAGACTGTTGGCTGATTTCTCAAAAGAAACTTTGCAGGCCAGAAGGGGTTGGCAAGAAATACTGAAAGTCATGAAAAGCAGGGACCTACAGCTAGGATTGCTCTACCCAGCAAAGCTATCATTTAAAATCAAAGGGCAGATAAAGAGTTTCCCAGACAAGTAAACAAACTAAAGTAGTTCATCATCACCAAACCATTATTATATGAAATGTTAAAAGGACTTATTTAAGAAAAAGAAGATAAAAACTATGAACAATAAAACGACAATAATTACATATCTATTATCAATTGAATCTAAAAAACTAAGCAAACAAGAACAGATACAGAATTATGGATAAGGAGAGCATTTTGATGGTTGCCAGATGGGAGGAGGGTGTGGGGGAATGGGTAAAGAAGCGACGGGATTAAGAAGTACAAATAGGTAGTTATAGAACAGCCATGAGGATATAAAGTACAATATAGGAAATGGAGTAGCCAAGAACTTATATGTATGACCCATGAACATGCACAATGGTGTGGGGAGTGCCTGAGGGAGTAGGGGGGGCTGGGTGGATGGGTCAAAAGGGGAAAAATTGGGACTATAATAGCATAATTAATAAAATATAATTAAAATAAACAAAAGAAACACTACCTATATATTCTGAAGATGGTTTAGGAACTCAAAGAACAAGGAGGAATGACAAAGAACATAAATAGTATCTTTTACTACATTTTACCAACTAGGTATGCATTCATGGGAAAAGCAATAGGCTCTGCTTTTTTTCTTTCTTTTTCTTTTTAAATCCTCACCTGAGGATATATGTTTTAGAGACGGGGAGGGAGAGGGAGAGGGGGAGAAAAAGGAAAACCAGTGTGCTAGGGAACCATCGCTATGTTGCCTCCCATAGGTGCCCTGACCAGGGATGGAGCCCACAACCTGGGCAATGCACCCTCATCGGGGATCAAACAGCAACGTTTTGGTATATGGGATGCTGCTCTAACCAAGCCACCTGGCCAGGGCTTTCTTTTTTTTCCTCTAATGTACTCAACTTAAAAATAGAATCGTGTAACTTAAGAACTTGGGTTCTTCCTAAAAGCAGCCTAAGGTGACCTCTGAAAATGGTTTGCTAATCACCTGATCCAGAAAACCCCACCAAGTCATGCAAATCAAGACATTCAAATCTTTTAGTTCACTTTAAGAACACTTGTGGAACTGCCCAGACCTCCATGGGTATGAATATCTGAAAAGCCACCAAGTATCTGAGAGATGTCACTTTATAGAAGCAGTGTGTGCCATTCCATCATTACAATGGTGGAGCTGCTAGGTGTGCCCAGGCCAAATAGTGGGTATGGCCACAGGGCTGGTGGCCCAAATAGAGTGCTAAATTTTTATAACACATGCTTTAAAATGCAGAGAGTAATGTTGGACTTAAGTGTTTAGAGGTAGATTCTCTGGTTATCGAGCACATCCAGGTAAAGTAAGCTCCCAAGATGCGGTGCAGAACTCACAGAGCTCTTGAGTGGATTATCCCCTACATGAGCTCTCCCTACCACACTGAGATGATTCTCACTGAAAATGAACAGACTGTCCTAAACCAGAAGAGGGGTTTGCAGTGAAAAACTTGGAAGGTCCCTCAGAGATTACATTGCCCAAGCCCTCTATTTACAAGTGAGGAACTAAAGGATAGAGGCATTTCTTACATGGTGGCTTAAATCGCCCCTATGTTAAATAACATTGAATCATATAGTATGAAAAGTATTCTATATTTATTATATTAATTATTCTATGTCAAAGAAAAAGTTTCAAACTGGTGCTACTATGCTTTCAAAACCACTGTAGCATTTGCTAATCTCTCAACAAAGAAAAAGCAGACTTCAGGGTGAATACACCCTGAATTTAAATTGGCCAAACTATGATATCCCATTGAATCTTTAACAACATTTGCCCTAAACCTAGCAGACTTAAGAAAGGATGTCACACACTGTAATACATAATCCTGTCTTAAGTGTATTATTTTGAATCTTATGAAATTATTTTAAATAGTATTACCCAATAAATTAGCAACAACAGCATTTTAAAATCCTGCCAATAAGTAATATACTAAAATTATTCTTCTTACTATATAAATAATATTCATCAAACCACAGAATGTTATGTATTACTAAAAAATAAGCTAAGGAAAAGTCATACCTTCTGTCTTTGAATGACTTATAATATTTACATCACATCCTTTTCCAACTTCCATCCTTGTTTCTCTCTCTACAGGGTTATTTCCCACTGAAAAGAAAAAGGTGTTTTTAAAAAATTAAGCTAAAGCATTCTTAAATAAAATGCCTAATGACACACACCTAATTTAAGAAGATGAGGTACATATGTAAGAATTTAGAACAAGGAATATACAACATGCTGGGGTCATAGGAATGTTAAAACAAAGAACAAGAATAAAGAAAAGACTCTGAAACTAGAAAAAGTGTTAATATGTCATTAATAAAGCTCAATTTCACCCACCAAATATAGATGAAAGAGAACTCAGTCTATTATGGCATTCAATTCACACTCAGAGAATCAGTGGGTGAATGACATTAGAACTTAGTGAAGGCTATGCTATCTAACAGCGCTGCTATTCCCCGGGGCGTGCCGCTTTTCATTAGCTGCAATCAAACGAAAGTGACACTGGTTCCCTCCAAAACAGGGACTTCCTTTCTTCTACCTCGGGAACCTCTAGTCAATACACGGTGAAAAGGAAACTGGGAAAAACCTTACGAGAATGACTTTGCCAACTTTCACAAACCTCGCTTACACCGAGCAATGGCAATACTAGCAGTAAAGAGAATGCGACGATAACTTTACATAGTCCATTCGAACCAAGTCTGTGCGTTAATCGGGATAATCTAAATTCACTGAATGTTGTATGCTTAGGTCCCAAGTCCTTTTTGATAAAGGCGGAGCATAAAGAAATACTATCTTACATGCTAAAAAAGCAGGGGCTTAAATTAAATCCCAAATGATTATGTTGAAAGATTTCGGGGTTGGGGCAAAGAAACGACTCTGGCGTTGTATCACTGGGAACAGTACAGTCAGCACTATTGTAGCCAACGAAAAAGAAAATGAGCTTTTGGTGACCACCTTAAGGGCAGAGGTTTAGAAGGCTAACGCGATTGCATATACACACTTGTAAGGGAATATACAGCACTTTGTTTAGGTTTGCTTAGTACGATCTCCAGCTTGAGGTGCCACTGTAAATCAGAACTTAGTCAAGATCGCTGATATTGAATGAATTAATCTAAGGGTTGTATCTCTTCAAGATCAATAAAATTTGGGTAAAAAATATTCCATATTAGAATGTTTCAGTGGTAGAATAAGTATGTTTACTTTACAACTGTGGTCTATTCGTCGATCCGATGCAGTAGGCCAAAGACAGAAGCACTGACAACTCCTTGTCTACAGAAGGAGAAGGACCACAGGCACTAGGGCCGAGACTTACCAGAAACCCAGGAGCCTGCTGACTCCGAGTAGGCTGTGCCATGTGCCTTCAAGGGGGGAACCTAGGAGTTACACCTATTGTTCTTAACTGCCCATTATCATATCAGGCCTGTTGTATGAGCGCTTTCTGTACCCTTACTTAGAACGAGCTGTTTGAGATCCTGTACTTTACTGAATAAGGAACAAATAAGTAAAAGGAGCTTCATCCTCCTTTTTCAACCTTTTACTCATCTACCAACACACATCCTGGTTGTATTAGCTCTCAATTCTGTCACTGACATAGTCCCAAGGTGGGTTCACATTTGTGGTGAGAATCCAGAGTCCTTCATGCCCAAATAAATACTGCTGACAAAGCCCTAGCACATGGTTCATAAACTTAAGGGGTTCTGAGGGCTACCTATGGACCACCTTTAATTCGAGGGATTGTGCATTTATTTTCCAAGATAATACTGCCAAACTACCATTTGAGCAAGTACAGAGATACAACAAACTCCACTAGGAGACATGAAATGTTCATAAAATACTCAAAAGAGGCTCAAGTAAAAATCCAGCTGTCATATAAAAGCCAAGATTAACATATTAAAATGTAAAAAGTTTCCCCAGATAATAGCGGTACCCACTACTGAGTGAGAAGCAGCACTGGAGAAGCATTCTCATAGTCTTAAGTCAAGAACGTTAATAAGCTCAAATATCATCTTAAATTGAGAGATATTGAAAAATATACATAACCTTGATTATGAAGAATATCATCAATTATAGTAGGAAATCTAACTTCTGTTACCACTTCTCCCTTAGAATGAGATGGCTGTGGAGCACCTGATTCAATATTTGGAGCCACTATAGCATAACGAAGCAGTTCTTCATACTCTTCCTACGAGAAATCAACAATAAATAATGTTTCAAGACACTGTTGTAATGGACACTCAGGCAATAGAACAACAAAAGTGGTACATATTTGCTATGTATAAAAGTATATAGCTATTTTATTTATAACATCATGTTTGGCATTTATATTTTGAAATGTTTTCAATAATGGAACATGGGTAGGCTTTCAACTGTAGTCAAGAATGCGTAGGGTCACAAGTTGAGGGTTACTAAGAAAACAGAATCTTAGCTGGGCTGACATTCTAAGCAGATAACCAATAACACAAAATGACTTCTGGCATATCTATAAGATCCTTCCCTGTCCCTCTATGAAATTCTACTCTAGACATTTATTCTTTCAATGTAAACCTTTGTCCCCTGACCAAACAACAACTTGAGATCTTACAGGGTGTTTACATTTTAGTAATAATGGGTTCTAGACCCAACAATTACAATGTATGGGTTTCCCTTCTCACCACCAAGCAATTCTTGGACATCAGTTGGGTGTCTTACAATTCAACTCAATTCTGACACTATCTGGCGGAGTCAGCATCAGATCACACAGGTCCAGGGCTCACTCCCACAAGACTGCTTCAGGTTACCAGTGCTTCTAACAGACCAGCTATGGATTGGAGGTTCCAATGACCCCCTCCTCAGGTTCAATTAATTTCCTAGAGTGTCTCACAGAACTCAAACATTTTACTAGATTACCAGTATATTATAAAAGGATATAACTCCAGAACAGCCAGATGGAACTGAGGAACAGGGGAAGGCATGGGGAAGGGGTATGGGGCATCCATGCCCTCTCCTAGCATGCCAGTTGCCAAGCACCTCCACTTGCTCAACCAATAAGCCCCCTGAATTTGCTTTTTTTGGGTTTCTATGGAGGCTCCATCACATAGGTGATTGATTAAATCATGGCCACTGGTGACTGAACCAGGAATCAGGATGAAGATCAAATATATATTTCTTATTATAAATCATAATATCACAAGTATACACGAGTTAATCATCAGTCTCCTCTTGAAAGAAGTTTGGACAAAGCAGACATGAAGGTACAGAAAAGCATTGTCACCTAAAAAGACAGCACTAAGTGGGAGAGCTGTCACCCAAAGGAAAGGCAAGGATAATCATGTCTCAATTTCAGACTACGTTTTTACTCATAAATAATCACAGATGTTTTAAAAATAGCTTCCCATTTGCTAAACCTGTAATTTCAATTAAAGGAACACAATTGTTTCATAAAATATTTTTCTAAAGATTTTCTCATATTATACAGTGTCAGTAAGAACTTATTCTACTTAACATTATGTCTAGCTTTTCCCCTCTTAAGTGATATAAATATAAAACTCAAGATATACCATGTCAGTAGTCTCTCAAAATCTACTCCGGAAATCTGAATCCATATTTTTGATGATAAAACATTTATAAATAAAACATTTCATGTAAAATCCATACCTTCTGTAGTCAATTCATCTGTCACTGTCCAGATCCTGGGCAGCAGAATGTGCTAAATGTTGTGGCAACAGGGACTGGAACCTAGAGTAGAACACTGAGGAATCTAGGCCCCAGAACTTTGGATGGTCTCCTATTGTATTAATGGGTATTAAAGTGAAAGCAGCTTTCCTAAAAGATAGCTACAATAAGAAAATTTCAAGAAAAAAAAGTTTCTTGAAGTTTCCAGCTTTCCTTCCCTTGTGTTGTTTGAAGCCTTTGTAGAGTGAAAATGATTATTTTCTGAAAGGTTAAAACAATGTAAGGTATTTCCCAAAGTTCTTAAAGTAATTCTTGAAGTGTGATATACTTTTATATACATTATATACATGTTAAAATTATAAATGTAAATGGCATGAATGAATTAAAAAGTTTTCATTCATTCCTAGTTTTCCCTCACAGTATTACTTGTTGAAAATTAGTAGGTCATGACAAATTTAGACAAGTCTTCCTACCTGAAGTTCTGAAGAGACTGAGCTGCCTCTGTTGGAGCCATTCTGCATAACTGGAAGTGAGCATTTCTCCTCATCTGATGACATTCTGCACAAATACTATAAAATATAAGTTAACTTTAGTTTCCCCCCCCCCCAATATTTAAAATAAAATGTTTTATATAGAGGGTGGAAACCATCCCAACCTATAAACAGTAATTGTGATGTGTTAAAATCATTCAACATATGGAGGGACCATAGACAAAATCATTGGGCAAGAAAAAATAGTTAAAGACTCAATTCCCAAAATTAGTGAGTTTATAAGGTACCAAAGAAGATGAGATAAATACATGAAAGGTTAAAGGAAAATGGAGGTTCCTCAGAAAAATCTACAGTCGGGCCTGTTGAGTGATCACTGTTCTTCAACAATGTGTGACAACTTGCATGCTGTGCACTTTCTCTGAAGAGAGGGAACCAAGAGGAATGAACAATTTATGCAAATTCCCTGCTTTAGGAACTTATTTTTTGGGAGTATTATTTTAAGAAAAGCAAGCCTATACAAAATTACAGGCTCTAATAGATACAAAGAAAAATTATTGAAAGCCTTAACAACAACAAAAAGTAACTTTTAGTAACAATAAATAAATTATTTAAAAGACAGGTAGTGAGTATTCAAACTATCTGAATACTAGTAACATGTAAGACATTGGTGAGGAAGTAAGATGAAGAGTCCTCAAGGACTTTACAATCTATAGAGAGGGCCAGATATGTATCTAAGCAACTGTTGAAGAAAGTGCTGTTAGACCCTGAAACAAGAGGTGCAAGGAAGGGAGGTAGTAGTAGCCACTTTTCATGGGGTGAGATCGTGAGGGTGTGGAGCAGTAGGAAATGGAGCCAGAGAAAATTTTAATAGAGAAGATAACCCTGATGTAGAGACCTGAAAGACAGATAAAGGATATCAGGATATGCTAGGCTGAGAAGCAGCATAAGCAGAGACACAGAGGCATGGACATGTATGCTTGGAACATAAGGCGTTTGTAAGGCTGAAGCAAAGGATGCAAAGCAAGGCTTGGCTAAGGACGAAAGAGGCACACATTAGCAACAACCAGATCATGGAAAATCATGACTGTGTCATGTTAAAAAGTTTGGTCTTTATTTTAGAGACGTTATTAAAATGTTTTAAATGGGTGATAACCAGATCATGCTTGTCTTTTAGAAAGAGCACTCCGCCAACTTTCAGGATGACTTGGACAGCTGGAGTGCTGAGAAAAGAGAGATCAACTGGGAGGTGAATGCAGCAGTCTAAGAAGTATGTTCCCTCTGGCAGTAACCCGGGAGATAAATGAGGCCCCGGATGTAGGGGCCGGCAATGGGAAGTAGATGGAGGGTATGACTGCGAGACAGCTGTGTTATGGCAATGAGTATGACAGGTCACGATCAATAATTAGTTAAGGGGTTAAAGGGAGGAACTGCTGATGGCTTCCAGATGTTTGGCTTGAGTAACTAGATGAATGATATTGCCATTTACCAAGGCAAGAAACGCAGGAAGATGAACAAGTTGGGAGGAAGAACAATGGGTTCAATATCAGATGTTTGGGTGTGAGGTGCCTCTGAGGCACGGAGGTGAAGCTGCAGGTATGCAGTATATCGCCACACCCATTACGCTGTGCGCCACCCCACAGACTGCCATTGACAATGGTCGCAATGTGAATGGTGCCTCTTGGAGCTCAGCAATGTGGGAGCCCTGCATTGGAACTTTAGGTTGGAGATACACAATTTGAGGAATCGTCAGCACAATGGGAAATGCCGAAGAAAGGAGAGGATAAGACCAGCTATGAAAAGGAGTGTGAGAAAGAGTTCTTACTCTGAAGTCCATATACCCAAATTGTATGCAATATTTTTAGTATAAATGCACATGTGTACTTTTCTAGGAAGAGGATCCGTAGCTTCCAGTATGTATTCAGAGGGAACTGTGACCCTAATACAGTTAAGGACCACTACCACAGTGAGAACAGGTTAAAGCTAGAACCACTACCATGTAAAGGGAGAAGAGACTAGCCAGCAAAGGAGACTGAAAAGGAAGCAGATTGGTAGAACTTTCAGAAAGAATAGCATCAACAAAAGCTTGGAGACGGGAGAAGTCAGAGTCACATGCCGAAGAAAGCTGAGACTGGGATAGAGTGCCTTGAATTTGGCAAGTGGTAAGTTGCTATGATATTGAACAATTTCAGTGGAAAGTAGAGCAAGTCTCAATCACAGTGGGCTGAAAAATAGGAGAGAGATGAGTAAACTGAAGGAGAAAGTGCTCTATAGAAGAAACATGGGTTGGGGCTAGATTCTGGAAAGCATACTTCAACTTTATTCAACGAGTATCATACACATGATTAAGTAAACTAAATCTCAGCATGAGTATCTTTAGTTAAGCCAATTAGGGAGGATAAAACAAGCACATACACCTCAGCAAGGAAGGGCTGCTTCTCAGGACTTCAAATCCACCATTGTGGCAACTTGGTCCATTTCTGTTTTCACTCATTTCTTCCTTTAGGATGTGTTTGCTAACCAGTTAGATAGAGGAGTGGGGGTGGGGTGACACTGATTATTTAAAAAAAAAACAAACAAATGAACTGAAAAGTATGATTGGACTTAAAAGAGTTTCTAAATATAGATACTGAAGACACATTACAACTATTATACTTTTGGAAAATACGCTCTAAATCTTCCAGCTGTCCTGCTCTGATGCCAACAAGGTATGACAGTTTACTTGAAACCTTACACAGTTGCATTTTCCCTACTGCTTCTAGGTTCAGAAACAAAGGAGGAAAATGAAGCTTGCTTTAGTAGGTGGCGGATGTATATCAGTTCACTAAATTTTCATTATTCTCGAACTCAACACATCAGAAACCAGGAGATAAAAAGTTCTGAGTGTTTCTCTATTGCCAGAGAAATCAAATTACATCTTGGTCATCACCTGGTTGATGGGGAAAAGGGGTTCAGGGAACTCAAAAGTAACCCTTAAGAGGCAGAGGAAGAGTGAATTAAGGTGCAAGCTGGCAGCAGGGAGACGTCCCTGCGCCCTCTCAAGGACCCTACCTGCAAGGCAAGGAAAGAGGGAGCAACTGCTGTCCCCTACGGCGAGGACTACAAGCAGAGGAGGAAAGCAGTTGCGAGTCAGCAAAGAGTGTAGTTCTCTTGGATCACCTTCCTACCCATCCCTGTTTTAATCAAATTCTTACTTAAAAACAAAGCGTTACTCATGGTTATTTTCCCCTTACGTTTTAAACGACCAGTGCCTACGGTGACAGCAACTGCTATACTTCAGGCATTCCCTCCTGCCCCCTCTTCTCGACGCCTCGGAGAGGAAAACCTCTCGACCTTGCCGTTCTGCAGTTCAGCAAAAAGGCCCGCGTCTGGGGGAAGATGCTCCTAGTCCCGTCCTATACGAGCCTCGGGAGCGAAAATCCGGGCCAAGACACTTTAAATCCCACTCCATTGTCTCTGCCAAGGATGCGGGGTCGGTCGGGGACGCAGCTACCCACCGTCGCGGCTCTCAACGAACCCAGACTTCTCCGTCCGCGTCTCCTCGCCGCGTCACTGCTAAAACCACAGCCAGTACAGGGGGCTCCTTAGCAGCAACCTGACAGTTTCAAACTGCAGAGAAGAATTAAGGACGGCCCTGAGCATTGGTCCCGAGCTTCAGCAACCTGCTGGATGATTGGTCAGAGCGCCGGGGGCGGGGTTCTACACCTCGCCGGGGAAAAACCGAAAAGAGGCTCTAAGGAGAGCCCCGCCCCCTGCGCCGGCTGGCCCTGAGGAGGCGGGGCTTAAGGAGCCCCGCGCTGGGGCTAGGAGAGCATGCTCAGTTCCGCTCTGCAGCTGCAGACTGGGAGGCGGCTTCTGATATGAAATTTGATTATGCTGAGCCGGGCTGAAGTCAGCTAGGGTGAATGCCGTTGTCTTTCGATAATACCGAGTCTGTGCGCGTGATCCTCATGCATAAAAGTCACCTGCGTCTACAGGTGCTCTGCAACGGGATCACTTGGCGGTGCTTTTTTACAGTACAGATTTCTCACCACCCCCTACCCCTGCCTTCCTTCAGTCTTGAGCAGGATCAGGGAACGTGCATTTTTAAGTATGTTCTGGAAACTGTACTCAACTGACTTATTCTCAGATTATCCCTGTGATGGAGATGGTATTTCCATCGTCATTTTACAGATACAAAAACTGAAGCCTAGAGAGGCTTATAAGATTGCTTATAATCACATGGCTAATAAGAGCAGAACTGGTATTCTGAGGCAATCTGGGCTCTGGGGTCCGTGTTCTTATCTCTCTATCTGTTCTGTTGGGAATAGTGAGATTTATGGATTGAATGCTGTCCTCAAAAAAAGGCATGTTCAAGTCCAAACCTCTGCTACCTGTGAATGTGACCACACTTGAAAGTAGGGTCATTATAAATGTAATTAAATTAAATTAGATCATACTGGACTGAGGTGAACCTAAATTCAATAACTAATGTCCTTACTGAAGGAAATTTAGACACAGAAAGAGATGCAGGGGAGAAGATGGAGACAGAGATTGGAGTGATACATCTATAAACTAGGAAACATAGCGGATGCCAGCAACCTAGCGGCTAGAAGGGGCCAGGAAAGGTCTTTTGCTAGAGCTTTCACAGAGAGAGTGTGGCTCTGCCAATACATTGCTTTTGGACTTCTGGCCTCCAGAACTGATGATACATTTGTGTTAAGTCATTCAGTTTGTGATAATTTGTTATGACATCCTTATGGCTCAGACCTTGATATAAGAAAATGTTTATTGTATTTGAATAATGAATAAAAGTGAGGGGTAGAGTGACACAGGATAAGGCTACAGATAGAAGTGGGGACCTGTGTTAGGGATTTGAGATTTTATTTAAAATTCAATGAGATGTTTTTTGATATGGAAAGAGATGAAAACAACTTGAACTAAGGGGATGACAAAGGTAAATGTCACTTCCATTCATATTACATTGCCTCACTTGGCTTCAAGATAGACTGGGAAATGTGGTTTCACAAGGAAATGTTGATTGATGGATAAATGGATATATATATATTTATTTATCTGTTTATGTATGTGTGTATCTGTCTATTCATCCGCCCATCCATCCATCAATCAAAAGAACATGGTAGATTATTTTAGGGCAAGTGATTCACAGTGCATGTCCCCAAACAGATCTTCTGTAGCTGGACTACACAGTCTATTTAGAATCCCTTCATACAGTGAGAGCCAAAAACATGGATTCATTGAACACATTTAATTGAGAGAGAGCAGAGGAAGAAAGTCTATCAATAAGCAAAAACAAAGGTCATTGTAGGCATCATGGTCCCAGTGGACAGTGCTGCGCAGGGGTGAGTATTTGTAGTGGAGTAAGAGCTTGATCAGAATATCTTGTCTGATGTCCTGGATTCCACAGGTGCATTTTGCCCTTCCTTACTCTTTTACTGCAGAAGGGAGTTATTTCTTAGCCTTCATCATCAGCCTTCTGTTCTTCCTAATTAAAAAGACTCCTTCCCGAATCTCTCTGTTACCATCCTCTAGCTACATAAAAATTTTCTTACCCTTAGCATTTCTTTCTCCTGATAAAACAACTTGGGACTAGCTGTGAGGCAAGATTAATTAATTTTTCAGAGGACAATGCTACTGAGTCCTACTGATGTTTGAATCCTCTGCAGATGCTGTATTTTGGGTGTTTAGGGTTTCTGAGGAGGGTTTGCAGATCAGGGTAATCCAGCTCTGAGAGAACAGGCAGATAAGTACATTTTGGGTTAAGCACCCAAATGTACTTTTTTTTTAAATAGATGCTTGGGTGTTGATTCTTAGAAATTCAGAAAATCAACTTTATCACTTTATTCTAATTATAAAATTGATGCAAGTCAATTTCATACATAAAGTACTTTTTATGTATTAAGCAAAGTGTTAGGCCATTTCACATATTCTGTTATTAATTGTTACAAAATTCTGCATAATTAAACAATAGCACTAGAAATACATTCACAGTAAAAATTCAATTTGATAATATGCAAAAAGTTGTGATGCACTATTAACTATTATTACATATTACAATATTGTATATTTGTTTATCGCTAAAGTTTAATATTTGTTTTTTTAGAATGATTTTGGCCATTTAGAATTTTTATTTATAAAAAAGCAAATACACAAAACCAGATTAATTAAAGGTTATGTCTAGTCTACAAACATCCAGAAGAGAAATAACATTAAAAAAATGAGACTGTGAAATCCTCAAGTGTCATATTTATCTATTAAGATATGAGCTACATAATCCAAATACTATGTTAAGCAAGCTCTATCACATAACTTTAAATATACATAATATTTCATTAATATGAAAAAAAGCAAAAAGTTCTTTTTAAAAGTTATGGGTTAATAGAATTATATGTATAAAAAGCATTTTGTATTTTGTATTGGGTATTATTCAGTTTACATGAGTCATTATTTTCCCAAAATGAGTGGATATGTATTTAAGACTATAGCAATGAAAATTCAAGTCATTGATTTATTTGTATGACACTGAACACTTATAAAATTTATGCAAACACTACAGAATTCTAAGAAAAAACATATGCCAAGAACACACTCCTCTGTAAAATCAAAATTTAAATTCAAGATTGCAAAATAAACTGATATCCCTCTCTAGACTATAATTCAATAATTGAAATGACATTTGAAGATATTGACATCTACAGTATAAAAGCATCAATTTTATAATTAGAATGAAGTGATAAAGTTGATTTTCTGAACTTCTAAGAATCAACACCCAAGCATCTATAAAAAAAAGAACTTTAAAAGTGAACAGTTGTTAATTCATTTATGGCTGTGAATATATAGTTATATTAACATGATATAAATATATTATCGAAATTATTTTAAGTTATAATTTTAAAGAAATTATGAAAAGTCTGTATGGAAGGGGTTTTGTCTTTTTTGAGGCAAAGGGATTTAAAGAGACCTTAATGGAAGTATTGCTATCAAATACTATCATTTAGAAATTACTTTTTAAGAAAAGCAAAATTTAATTGTCAGCTTTTCAATTTAAATATTTTTCACCCTTCTAATAATAGAATTCTAATAACAGGTGACTGTGAAAAGTATAAATTTTCTCTTGTACACGTTGCTGATGATAAAATAAAATAATAAAATAAGGCTTTTTTTAACCAGAGGTTTTAATTTATTATTTTAGTATTTTTGACATGTATGTATTCTCATCCTTTCCAGTTTTCTATCTCTGACCATAAAACCTCAAATCTCCTTCCAGGCCTATCCCAAATACCACTCATCAAAGAAGTCTTCTTTTGTTTTGTTTTGTCTTGTTTTGATATTACTTCTTGTCACCTCTTACCCATTCATGTACTTTGTATGCTTAACTCATATAATATTCTGTTGCAGGGACTGTGCCTTCCTCATTTTTGGGTCACCTGTGGGACCAAGCACAGACCTTACCAGCAATGGCCCTTTAAAAAATATTTGCTGAATTAAAAGTGCTGAATACTTATGGTTTTCCACCTCCTCTATAAAATGGTTTGTGTTTTTTGTTGATGCAAACCTCTCTCCTTGCTTTCTGTAGGCCTGCAAAATTCTCCAGAATAGAGTTCAACCTGCGGTATGACTCAGCAATGCAGGGTCCGAGTGTGGTCCCTGCCTTTGTAGCTTCCACAGAATGGAAGGAAGTTTGTCTCGGCCACACCAGGTGGCAGTGTTATCCACGCCTGGATGGCCACCAAAGCAGGTGTATGAGGAAAAACAAGGCAGTGATTCTACAAAGAAACATTTGAAAACAATTTAACATAAAAAGGCTAAAATAACTCAATTTTCTTGTTTTAATCAGAGATTCCAAGACTCATGTGATTATACAATTGCTGCTGACAGGGATCGGTGAAAAAAGTTTTATTATTTGCACTGTCAACAGATACACAGAGAGAACAAACACATGTTCTGGCAAACCAGAGTAAACTTTTGCTTTTATATAAAGGAATAGAAGTGATCATATTGAAAGTTAATGTTATACTATTTTGTAGATAAGAGAATAGCTTTAAAAGGCACAATTATTCTTCAGAATGCAAATAGTCAAGGTATTTTACCTACAAAAAATTAAGATATTAATTTGATTGTCAAGAAACAGTATTTTGGGGGTACAGAATGATTAGATGTTGGTGCAGGTAAATTTTTTTTGTGCAAAATGTTTTCTGTGTTTTTAAATACCATTATTATCTTATAGTTGGGATTATAGCTGAGTTCCTCTGAATCCGGCATATGATGAAAAAAGGGGCGATTGCATTATTCTAGTGTTGGTACCATATTCCTCCATGAAGGAGCACACGCAGCAGTACTTGGTAAGTATCATCACTTCCACATTTCAGTTGGTTTTCTGAGTATTTGCTGGAACCCTAAGATAGAGGATGTGAAAGGGGAACTCAATAGTTGGAAAATTTTAGTTTTAGGTAATAATCAGCTTAGTAGTTAATGCATGAAAAAAGCTATTGTTTCAGGAACTGAAGGTATGGCCCCCCCCGACCCCAGGAGCCCACAAGCAATTCAATCTTTGTGCTCCAGAAGAGACCATAAGCAATCAAGGTGGTATCTGAGCCATTGTGGTCC